GTGTACATCTTTCTTTTGTTCATAGTTTGCCATAGGGTATTGTATTTGAGTTTGGATTATAATTATGTTGGTGTTTTCTTGTATTTTGTAGGCATTGTCACACAAGTATTGGTTCTAGACAATCCCCAATCGTTACTCGACGCGGTATATCATGCTTTTGATAATGTCAAATGTGTAGGGTATATCAAGCTGCCCATGGAATTATTTAGTAGAGAATATTACACGAATATGTTGTTGCATGTAAGCAGTGTTCATATAGGTTAAGTTCTGCCATCATCACTAAACGTTGGCGATTGGTTCGTAACCACATTATTTAAGCCCTTTCCCACAACAAAATAACATTAACAGCAAGTGGTCATGAATCTAAGATTATATACATACTGGAAAGTTATATCGATCTCTGAACTTACAAAGATTTATTAGACTTAATGTAATTCAAAACTTTTGGCTAGATTTAATGAAATTGTGCACACTTCTAAAGTTAATTTCACAAGTATCTACAGGCAGATTTTCATTTCTAGAAAGAAGTAAGTCTAAATTCAATAAACAAAACTAAATTTTCAAGTTTAAGGAAAAGCAAACGTTTCTGCTATTCGTAATTAGGACATTCATTCGAGGAAAAAAAGAAAAATATTTTCACAAAGGAATCTACATGACCACTCGGGGTCATCAACCAGATTTACTCATATTGCATCGATGACGTAACTTTGTGTAAATTATATATAACTTCCTGGCACCAAATCCGTAGTAGATAGAAGTTATGAACGTTTGTAAAGGTGGTGAAGACCAAGATGTGATATCAAGCGCATTCCATAGTCGAAATGTAGAAATAAGAAAGGAAGAATCAGTTTGAAATAGTCTGTGGTTCGGAATTACACAATTCTGTCTGTTTCTTACCGGATATGGAATAGTTTGACCAATATCTTTCTCCCCTTCAGCAACTGGTCGCTATTACATCAATTGTTTTGATTCTTTTTGTTACATCTGTTGGAACCAGTAAGATTTTAACTATTATTTGTATACACCTACCACAGCTCATTCCTTCATTTCATGTGCATTTTTTGACGTTTTCCAGTGAATCCGCAGTTTGCAGAAAACCGTTCAATTTTCGCACTTTAAAAGGGTTTTCGTCTATCTGTCAACCGACTAAAATGTCTACGTAGTTCGCAATACGCCATGCTTTTGTAAGCTATGTCTTAGCTGTTGTTTTTTTTTTCATCTCAAATGTCCCCCTTCCTATCAGTTCGAATGTGACATTTTAACAGTTGGTGGTAACACTTCAAATATTTCATATTCTCTTGACTCTTTCTGGGGGAAAATTCATTAAGAATTTAAGTAATCTACTCATACTCAACCCCCTCAAATGTTCGTACATGTATATGTCCTGTATAATCATCTACAATGTCCAAGTTTATGAGAATAAGATTCTTGTCGTTGTCATCGCCAGGACAATGATCCTGGTTCGTGAGTTGGGTATCCAACTTCTAACTACTGAAAACGTTTTAAACCAAACCCTAAAATTGTCTTCCAGCGAATACGTTTTCAAAAGTAATCCATAATTTCGGTATATTCTAGTTTACTCTAAATACGAGTTTCATCTCTAAAATAAGCTCTCATTCTTTGTGATACCGCCATTAGCTTCCATACTTTGTATTTCTTACGATCATTACCACGCACCTGCGTATTCCGTCCCCTGTAATCATACAAAGATGTTCAATCTGTCTATAGAACGCTAACCAGGAAGTAACGATACTCCATTTGGTTTGTACAGTATTGATCGAAACACTTTCAATATACAGTCTGAAATCCGTGTGTTTCTCAAAAAAAATGACAAACCACCATATTTTTGTGTGTATCAATACATGCCTGGTACTCCTCAGAAATCCAACAAAGACTCCAGCCTTTTCCAACACACAGCTGGTACAGTGTGCTGTTCTTTCCATCTGTACTCCATATATCCAGACCGTTACAGTTTTGTTTGCAGCTTAGGAAAATTCATGTCAAGTTTTTACCCTTTTTGTGTTGATTCTTGATCCATTTCACAAGTATAACTACAATATCTTTCCCAGTTTAAAATCGTCCATGTGAAAGTATCTCCAACTGTAGTCTATATCTGGACTTCAAATAACACTGTCCAGATATATAGACAAGACTCTGGGGAATTCTAAAACAAATATTCATAAAACTTGAGTGATCTTGCCTTCTGAACAGATCTTTCATCCCTTTCCAGGTTGGACATCAATCCTGCTATCTTCTCAGAGACTGTGCTATATCAATGGAAGCCTGCGTTACCAGCGTGTCTGATCACTGGCTTTAAAACTCTGAAGCAAATCATTTTCTCCATTTTTATCAGGAGACATTATATATTTCTAGCTAAGATCTCTTCCACGGCAATCACGGAGTTGTCAATGACAAGATTTTTTTTCACCTTCCTTCGCGACTTCAAATCTTCTCAACATCTTTTGCATTTTAAAAAACTTTTTTGAGTCATTGTCAGGACATTTCCACAATGAATTACTCTTTACATTCAGTGTACATCATCAACACTTCTATTTTCCTCTCAATATTCTGCTACATCTCCTGGTAGAAGTGGTGGTCATCTCTTTTTTCCTATCTGCCTGTCCTGGTCTGCATTAACAAGTGGTCACAAGATTTACCATACGTGACAGGTTTGGTAGCACAGGTATTTCGCGTGTTGGTGCCAACATTTTCACATCATGTTAATACACCATATGGCCATATAATAACTTGATCGATGTACTTACCCAGTATTATACACCCAGTATTATACACAAACTGTTCATGTAAAAGGAGAGGTTTATGGACCTTAATGGACACCTGTGGTCTTCAGGTCTTTGGACAGTTTTAGAACCTGTCTATTAGTTCCAGCATTGGGACAGGCAGGACAGAACTGATAAATGAACACTTACAAAGTTTTTAACGTTTCAAAGTTTGAAGGGTTAATATTTAAATGGAACTGATAACACTCTCTGTTGTTGTAGTTTAGTATATTTGACCCCTGTGACCTTGGGTGACATTAGAGGTCATTCATTTGAAAAACATAAAAAGCCCTTTATCCCAGAAAGCTACTGGCCCAATATCAGTACCCTGGGCCTTTTGGTTATTGAAAAAAATTGTTCAAAGGTTTTGACATCTGTGGCCTTGAAAAGAAATCAAGGCCTAAATATGAACAAACTTGGTAGCACTTCATCCCAGCATGCTACGGACTCAATATCAGCATCCTGTGCTTTTATTTTTATTGAGAAGTCATTTAAAATATTTTACTTGTGACCTTGAAAGTGGGTCAAGGTCAATAATATGAACAAATATGGTAGCACTTCATCCCAGCATGCAACTGACTCAATATCAGCATCCTGTGCTTTATTTTTATTGAGAAGTCATTAAAGATATTTGACCTGTGACCTTGAAAGTGGGTCAAGGTCATTCATTTTAACAAACTTGGTAGTATTTCATCAGAGCATGCTACAGGCTCTACATCAGCAATCTGGTATATTTGACCTCTGTTACCTTGAAAGTGGGTCAAAGTTATTGATTTAACAAACTTGCTAGCTCTTCATCCAAGCATGCTACAGACACAATAACAGCACTCAGGGCTTTTTGGTTATTGAAGAGAAGTTGTTTAATGATTTCAACACACTTTATCCTTGTGACCTTGAAAGTGGTACAAGGCCATTCATTTTAACAAATTCAGTAACTCTTCATCCCAGCATGCTTCAGGCAGTCAGCAATTTGGGCCTTTTGGTTATTGAGAAGAAGTTGAAAATGTCAATTTATGACTCGCAATGCCAAACAAAAAACGATTGTAATAGGTCACTTGAGACTTCCTCCCAAGTGACCTAAAAAAAAAGTCTATATTTTTACCAGTTCACATTACATACAAACAGAATATAATATAGCACAGGTACATTTTAGATCAAGGAGTTTCCAGACATGTAAAAGACATGTAAAATTAATGTTGGCTATAGCTGATGATGCTCATACTTTGTGGGAGTAACACATGAACTGTAGGTCAAAAAATTCATTATGAATTTTCTAAACTTCAAGACTTCAAGATGACTGTAATTTCTCCAGATACAAAAAGGCATTCAATTTTCATTTAGGACTATTATTGGACCTTTGCTGTTCATATGTATACAATGATTCATTTAGGTTTATTTTCTAATCAAACTATTAATTTTGACATATTTTTGGATTCAAGATGGCTGCTTTGCCATCACATTCATGAATATTCTGTTTACGCTATAACTTTCTTAGGACCAAAAAATTGCAGCTGCTACAAACCAGAACATTTTGTAGTATTTTGCAGTTTAACATCCATCAAATTAGTGTTCCTCCCCTGTAGGAAGCTTTCCTACAGAGAATTCAATGTGAAATCTACCCTATCTAAGTTTAATGAATTCAATATTTACATGTTGGGCCAGTTTGGCTATTTATGATCCCATTGTTAAAATGGTTCTTTCTTGACACATCATTGAATCATCTCAAGGTGTGTCAAGGTCAATGTGGAAAAATGAAATAAAATAAAGATGACGTCTGACATAGAATGAATTCTCAGATTATCTAGGTGACAATCTTTGAAACTTCAAGATGCTACATTAAAGTTTTCCTCATTGGGTTAAAGAAATACATTTTGAGAAGATCATTGTAACACTGCTCTTGATATTCCCAAATCCTAAGCATTTGTGGCCTTTTCTGAAACAGTTGTTCAGTAAAATGTTCAAGGTTCAAGACTTGAACTACTACCACAGCCAAGAAGAGTGATAACCCCTATAAAATTTGCCAGCTGCATGAAGATCTATTTACCTAATGTTACCAGCACTACACTCCAGTTTCTGCCATAAGGCATACAACAACTATTTGTGGGACTACAGCCTTGGCACCCATAACAGGGACATGCCTCTTTCATTTCTTCAAGTCATGCCAAGTAAGAGACATTGTACAGAATTACATTCTATGTCATGTATTACGATAAACATCTGTTTTGTCGGTAAATAACTTTTTATTCATCTCTGTATCTGGAACCAACCACACAGCCCATTCACAATGATGTTATCTTTTGAGAGTAAATATACTTTATATGTACTGTAACCACTTAATATCTTGTTCATTCTGACTGGATTCAGAAATAGAACAAGTAGAAAATGAAGCAAACCCACAATGGTTTTCACAATACTGTTTTCTTGTGTCTCTGTCACAGCAAAGGCAGCCAAGTCAATGAATCCTTGGGCCATTCAACATACTAAACTTGTCAAGACACTGTATGTGATTCCTAGTGTACACACTGATATATAACTTGATAAGTTATGATCAAGAAGATAGTCACAAGTCGCCAGGTAAAAAAGAATTTTCAAACATATCCTTGTAGACATCCAGTCACGCTTTCTTGGACATATCATAGGCATCCTGAAATGAAAATTGCCTTGTAGTAACACTGATAACAAGTTACTAGTAACTTGTATAACTCATAACTCAATTTCACTTTCATTTTGCAAGAGAATGATGATAAAAATTTGTGAAAACTTTCATCTTCAAATCTTAAAATATAGGAAATGAACCAGAATTTCCTATGACATCATGAGAGTGTATATAAAGAAAATTTCAACTATGGTGACTTAAGTGACACACTTATAATCAATGATGTGTATAGTATGACCAATACATCCTTTCTATTTGCCATGCTGTACAGTTTGGGCCAGAGTGTACATGACATTTAGTAGTCATTTATCTGAGTGTGATTACTGAAAAGTCACAGATTTCTTACTATCCTTAATACTTTGAAACTGTGCAAACTTGTATGATCAATTTTATGGTATAATAATTAGTTATATTTTGTTTGTTCCTAAAAAATATCATTCACTGAAAGCTGTAACATTCACATGAAACTGGGGGGACTTGAGTAAGTTTTCAATCTCAGATGTTACCTTACGAGCATCATCCACACAAGAAGTGAATGCTCGAACTTGTGCAGAGCAATTTAGCGTCTGTTTGGGGTTGCTTTGGTAGCAATGAAACACATCTTGCTGTATGTCCTGACAGATAGGTGATCCAGTATTTCGTCTGTTGGAAATAAGGAGGTCATCATATCAAACATAATTTTCTCAAAAAACAAAATGCATTTGGCCAAGTAACTCCCACAAAAATATGCAAATCAATCAAAAAAAGTGCATGTGCTAAGTTATGTTCAAGAATATTTGGATATGAACTGTTGCATGAATTGTATAGATGAGATTCAGTCTACAATCGAAGAAAAATCTATCATAACTGCAATAAAAATATAAGGATTTTAACCAAGTTTTGACAAAAACAAAAACTCTAATAGAAGTCCAGCCAGACAAAATCCTGTACAGAAACTGATAACTATAAATCCCCACCCACCCAATAAACAGTTTTTGCCGGGGCTTAGTTGGACTCATTGATTTCTTCTCCACCTTGATTATCACTACCATTGGACAAGTGTGACATAAAAGCAAAGATTACTATCTTACCAAATACTGCCCTACAACTCTCCAGGAGTGAGAAGAAATGAGATAAAGTCTAACTAATGAAGTTTCAGCACAGATATCATCAATCTGAGACCTTGATCTTTGATAGGAAAGACAGAAAGGTGTGATATATATACGTGTGTGTGTGTGTGTGTGTGTATTTTTTTCTTTTCCTTTTAGCCATGTGTATAATAGAAATTAGCAACAGTGGAGACATGGAAACTCTTTCCACTGAGCAAGGACAGTGCTTAGATACCAAGATAAATCTGCTAACTACATTATAAAGATTGATAGAAATGGCAAAGCCTTTTCATTATTTGGCATGGGTCATTTTCTCTACATGTTTATAAGAAAATTGATGAATTGGGAAGAAAATTTTCACTAGTAAATTGCAAAATTTAGGAATTTGGCTTTAATATGAAATAATTATAAGTAGAAATGGGGCCAATTGTTGGCACAAAAAAGCACTAAACTGGTAGACTTAATCATGTGGAACATGTGGAATAAAAGGTGACCATATCAGTACAGATATAATCAAACTCTCAACATGTAAGGTTATCTGAACACAGGACAAGTGAATAGAATTAACTAATAAGGCATAATTACAAAAATTTCTTTTCTAACTCATCCATTGCTTGAGAAAACTGTTCTTGCTGTGTCTGTAGTTGTTGCTCACTCTATAAATAAAAGAAACAAAATCAAAGTTATCAAACATTTCACAGTAGATATACATATACACAAGAAGTAACAACAGGAGAGTGTTAAAATGTGTAACTAATGATAAAATCAAGATTAGCCTATCTTTTGACATGTTACAATAATACATCACCTGTTCTTCATATTTTTTCAGTCTTGCTTTTGATTCTGCTTCCCTCTCTTCTGTAGCTTTCAATCTCTCTTGAAATTCTGCTTCAATTTGTCTTATTTTACTGGATGGAATTGCGTAATCCTGCGTATAAAAATATAAGATTTCACAACAGCTGAACAGGGTATTTTGTCAATTGGTAGAGATAATTTTCCAGTCTCATTTTATTCAACCATACCTGTATGTGTGTATTTGATGTCTGTCCTAGTCTAAAGTATGACAAATATATATGCATAGTACAGGAGTAGTTAACAGTAAATGGGATGTTGTAGGTTGGTGGGTGGGGGGGGGGGGGGGGATATTTTTACTTGAGTACGGTAATATGGATACACCACATCCTGCTCTATATTTATGTTAGGGATTTAGAATATTCACTGTGGCTCTCCAGACACTTACAAAGTGCATTCCATCTTCAGATTTCGATTCAGGTTCTGGCACTGAAAAAAAATAAAGCATTTTTTTTTCAATTCAACAACCACTTGATCAATCTCTATGGATAGCTTACAGTTTCACTTAATATATGTACTGTCATTATTTATCCAAACTGGCTACGAATAAAAATGTATATAGCATACTGCACCTATGAAACAACATCAAAGGCTACTTTTCATTTTTTGCTAACAAAGTCATTTTAATAAATATCAAGAAATTGTAATTCAAATCATCTGACCGGTTCAGTGTTTACAGCCTCCAAAACAAATCATCATGTTTTCAGGAATGTATCAAATGCTGCAAACTAGAGAAAAGTAAAGAAAATGCTGCTTTACAGAAAAGTACTTCTAATGATATAAAAATTATATAGACATAGATTCAGAGATAGTCCCATTATAAGGGCCACAGGCATGGTATCAATAAAGGTCATCACCACAGTTTGCTGAAGACTTACCTTTCTCTCTGCCAGATAACCGCTTTATAACATTTTGTGTGACCTAAAATTAAAAAAAATAATTGAATGTAAAGCATATCAAAACATGCTTATTATCATTAAATTAATGTAAATTTTAGGGTGAAAAACGGTCTGAATTCTGCCACAATGAGATCTCGTCCTTCAACAATACACTGAAGCAGATACCAAAAAGAAGACTGGAATTACGTGTTGATCCTTGTCTAATTGATAATAAGTCTCCTTAACAAAAATTCTGTTTGATTATAAAATTCTGTTTGATTATAGATGAATTTACCGAACCAAAAGAAAGTATGTCCTTTCATAGATTTAAACATTTACGGTTAGTTTAAATCTTTAAAATTAATTATACAGGTACAATTGCATCTTCTGATCTAATCTAGACAATTATTCAAAAGCAGGTCAAGGTCATTTATTTGAGGAAAGGTAGTAGAAAGTTTATCATTTATATCCAGGTATCAGCTCTCAAGTCAACCTCTGCTCTCAATACCATACATTCAGCATTTAAATCTAATATTTGATCTCAATATAATACACTAGCTCTAAATTTAACTTTTGACCTATATATATACAATGCAACAATCAAATCTAACTAACTTCTTACCCAAGCTGACACAAGCTCTGAAATCTTACCTATGGCACCAGCTTTCAAATTTAACTTCTGACATCAGTACAATAAAACCAACTACCAAATCTAACCTCTGACCTAAATACATTCACCAGCTCTATATTCTAACTTTTGACCTCCTCACATTCAACTTTGTAGTTCTAAAATCTAACCTCCGATCCCAATACAATACACCTTGCTATCAAATCTAACCTCTGGCCTTAATACAATACAGCAGCTTTTAATTCCCACCTCTGGTCTCAATACATACAACCAGCACTCCAGTCTAACATCTAACTTCAATATAATATACCACCTCTCAATTCTAATTTCTCAACCCAATATATAGACCATGCTCTCAAATCTAAACCTCAGACCTAAACACAAAACAAACAGTTATCTAAATACTTCTCTCAAATTTAGTGCTGATAACGTTACACATTATTTTAGAAAAGAAGGCAGTTCCTTTTGTAAAAACACAAATACATGATGGTGAGCATTGTCATGACTGATTCAGATGGAAAGCCATTTTTATTTACAGGCAACAGTGTTTTTTGTGCATGCATTATCATAAATGATGTAAAATTTACATATTTAGACTGTTGATCAACAGATCAGTATTTCCTTTTTATAACTATTATTTGACCTTTGTATGTGCATATTTCAGCGAAAACCAAATGTCGTTCATAATGCGATACACATGATATGATGATAATAAAAAACCTTTTTCAATTGTTGCCTTGAGCATTTTTAAGACCTAGATGAAATGTTTAGATTTCAGTATATTCTGTTGATTTTTGCATTACTTTTGGTTACTTGAAACAACTTTGCAAGAAGCTTAAGCGTCTTCAATAGTTTTATAGGGTAAAACAGCTTAGGAAAAATGAGAATTGCTTGAACAAAAGTTGCTTTTATTAATGAAGAAAGTCTGAGTTTCCAACCTGTTGATTATGACTAGTCCAAAGAGTCCTGACTATCTTTTTGTATTTTTTCTTGTTTTGGTTGTACCCAAGACAAAAATGAAATAACTGATAAACAGTTTGAACCCGTAGACTGATGATGTACTGATCAATCAGAAGTATCCTTTTTTTAAGTATACAGATAAAACGGGGGTGGGGGTGGTTTGGGGGAGGGGGAGAAGAAGTCGTTTCTGTACCAGGTTGTTTTGGTACTTCCAAAATAAGTTGTTTCATCACTTTTTAAAATGTTTTGATTTATGTATTCATTTTGTTTTTAAGGTGTTTTGTCATTAATAAATATTGCTCATTCCGTTTCTGAAAAACTGTTCATTCAAAATGCAAAATGACACTGCAGCTGTGAAAACCATTTTGCAATTGCCAAAACAACTTTTGAAAGTACCTAAACAATTGGGTGCAAAAACAACTTGGACTAGAATTCATGAAATGGCATCTTCACAAATTAGCATCATATATATGTTATAAATTTGAGACACATGAGATCATATATTTCAATACAAAGGTCTTATTTGAACCATTGAGTAAACCTCACTATGTAAGACGATGGCCAGTTACTGTATACACAAGTGAGTTTATTCGAATCTATTTCAGATTATACTAATCTGGTTATTTCTTGCCAATGAAATACATTGTCATTAATGACGATGAGTTTACATTTGCCATTTAGTATGCTTATGGTTTAAGTGTATACACATTTGTTGAAATTGGGAGGACTTATACTCTCTGGTTTAAAAGTTTTGTTTCTGTGCATCTCCTCATATAGCCAACCTTAATTAGTGTACTAATCGTCAGTGTGGAAAGTGAGGTTTGTAGCAGTTCCTTTTGAAATTCTCATGGCAATACAACAGGTAGATAATTTCATGTTTGCAAAACCATTTACCATAACATCATCCCTTTCCACTACCATAGTCCGTTTGCTATCAGAAGCTCCCATTTTCCGTTTCAGGTGTCACCTTCTCGCCGGCGAATTCACCGGAAGTTGCTACCGGAAGTTGAGGACAACGATATGGATAGGTGTACTGAAAGAATAAATACGACGGACAATGAATGATTGAGGGACGGAACTTGATTAAGTTAGCTTGCCTTGGTCCACCAGTAAAAAAGCATGATGCTATTAGATAGAAACTACTGGTCAGATGATTAATGTTTATAAAGGGCAAAGATGGTCTGAATAGCACACCTGGATATTCCAGTAATGACAGTCAAGCAAGAGGCCCAGAGGGCCTGATTTGCTGATCTGGTTGAAGTAGACGCAAGGTCAAAATAGTGATATGTTTTTATCATTTTCATAGTTCATGTTTAAGGAAAATATACACTTACATTTTCATAGAAATATAAGAATAAAAGATCCTGGTGATTTTAATTAGATGCGCTATTACTCCCTGCTTTTTTAAGGAGTATTCAAGATATTTAAAGACTATGCCATTTTTTTCCTTGTCAAGTCCTATCCTTCAGGCCCCTGGTGGTGCAGCCCTATAGATTTAATAAATTCAAGACCCCCCAAAGTCAATTTTTGCATCATCATGTTATCTCTTGATGCCTAGCAGTGAAATATATGGTGATGAGAGGAGTATGCTAACTGTTTCAGAGATGTAACCCAAAATCTAAGTCCCTAGGGGTGGGGCCAGACCCAAAGGGCCAATTTTATATATTGTAATGGGGTGGGGATCTCAACTGTTTCAAAGATATAATAAAGATGACCCCATATTTGAAGGCCACTGAGGCACAGTCACATAAATATCACAATAAAGATCTGCATGCCCTGATGACGTGCAAATACATATTTCTGTAACAGATATATATATATGGTACTGAACCCATACTATCACTTAACACGCTGACCATAATATTCATAAATTCAAAACAGGGCTCGTTCTAGTTGATGATTAAATGTAAATAAGCCAATACTCTCTGCTACTTGAAACAATAACCCTGTTTTTAACCTATTTGGACCGCCCCCTTAGGCCCCTTTGGGGCACAATCCTATAATTTCGATATATCCTTTTGATGCTCCATGTTGAATCTAGTAAAAATTAGCTTAGCGGTTTTGAAAAAGATTAAAATGTAAAAAGTTAGCAGACAACAGACAAAGTGATATAGCATAGATAACATAAGATATATGGTGTTAATCTGTGAAATAGTTACAAGGGAAGAGAAAATCTTCATGATAATGCCATAAATTCTGGTTTTATGCTAAACTCTTCAAAAAAGAGCTCATAGCCCTTTAGTTCTTGTAAAAAGGAAAGATTCTCATAGAGCTTTTATAAATGAGGTGACAGATAAAAAACAATTGAAAACCATAATGTATTATGTTTACTTTTATTTTTCATAAATACAAGTCACGATGTATATGCAAGTATATCGCATTTCCATCAATTTCTTTTTAATATTTGCACAAAGTGTTACGTGGCTTCCTGTAATTTCTACAATTAATTCAACTATATCTGTATACTGGTAACTTCTGAGTGGGAACACGTTGACCTCCTTACCATATGATAAGCACTTAATGTCAAATTAACACTCAGTGGCCTAGTGGTAGGAAAAAAAAATGTCTTATAAGGGTGAACCACACACAAATTTTCATGATTCTACTTGAAATATCTAAGATAGGGCCAGGTATGTCCCAGAAACAATATTTGCTTTATGCCTCAAGCCTTATGGTTGGAATAGTATGGGGATAAGCCACCGGAAACTTTTTAAAAAACTCACTTACAGATATAGGCACTGACAACACATATTAATATTAATATTTTTTCAAAGTAGCCATATGATGAAGTACACTGTAGATTGAATATTCCTGTCCTTCTATGCACTTTCTTTCATCACTACGAGCAAACAACCTTTAGGTGTATCAGTAGACCTGTACACCAATAGACCACCAAGAATCGTGAACAAAGGCTAACAGCAACATAACAACATCCAAATGTCCATTTGTAAACAACAGATTCTGCTGTTATTTTACAAAAGATAAGGATGTGGATATTTAATGAAACCTAGAGAAGAGCAGAGCTTGTTCATTGATGAAACTATGTACATTAAAACTTTTTATGCTCCAGTAAACTTAAAATAACATTGCAGTTATACCTTGACTTTTATACCTTTAAAAACTTGCCTGAAACTTTAACAAATCTAATCAACCTGGTTTTGGTCCCGTAAATATGAAAATATGTTAAAGCACCATGTGTATACTTTGCCTCATTGTCAATTCCTTCTATCTTAAGACAGTAAAATGTGGTGGTCTAACAGTAGCTAAATTAGACTCAACTTGTGACCTTAATGTGGCCAGTGTTGACTTAACCATCCTACAGTTAGCCAGATCATTGAGACCCATCCAATGGCAAGGCCTCTAAATGGATCAGATATCGATTCCATAGATGTATTATTTATAAATATGCATCTCTCAGGTGCCACACCCAAGCATATTTCTTTAAAAACTGAAAAATGGTACATTACAAAAAGTTGGCTCCCTTTTCATATGTATTATCAATGAAAAATTTATAAATACCTTTGTAAGTGATAGAGGAAGCTTCAACCTCCCCATTTGAATGTTCTTTTGGTTGAGGGGAAGAACAGACAAGAATAATAAAGACAAAATTTTATCATGAGTATGTCGTGTATTATACAGTAGACTTGTTAACACTCCAAATATACTGTCTGTTTAAGTCCTTTATCAGAAGATAAATTAGTAGAATGTGTACATTTTTTTCTCAAGACAAAGGGCAATCTGTTTATGTGTACTTGTAATACTACAGGCTCCTAGCTTTATACCTAAAAGATACACAACACAATACACCATGAAAAATAAATGGCAGACAGCAACAATACCAATGAAAATTTTCCAAATATACATAATATAACTCTATACATAGGGTTTGAATAATTTGCCATAAATATTTCATATCCATGATAAATTTCATATTCCAGATACAGTGTTTAATGCCCCATACATTTGTAATAAAAAGAAACATTTTACTGTATACATCAAGTTTGTAGTAATTCTATATTCATTGTATATTTCATCTTGGCAATGAATTTGATCCTCAAAATATTTCATTATTTTTTTTTGTGTTATAAATTCTATATTCCTCAATTTTTTATACTTTACCATGTACAAATATTGATAAAATTATTACTACTAATGTTTCCGACTCCTTATATGATAAGGACATGATACTCACTAACATAGAGGTATGATTAATTCTATTTGCTATATATGTTTTTCCCCAAACTTAAAATTAAGGTGTGTGATGAGCATGATTCTACTAAAATTTGTAATGAGTGATATAACGGCTATATTTTATTAAATCTGTATAAATTTTGAGCCCTTTGTTTGGTTCCAGTATCTATGTATATAATCTCCAAAAAGTATTCATTAGTATACAGATTGCCAATTAAATAAAGTCATCTAATATATCATCATAAGACTTTGAAATGGAAGAATTGAAAATCTTTCCATAGACATAATAATTATCTTTCTCTCAAAAAAAGACATTTTTCTTACCTTATTATTTCAACAAAATTACTGGTGTCTGTTTGCATACACATAAGTGATTATCAGCAGTGTATATTGGCGCTACACACTAATAACAAACAGTTTGGCAATGATATGACATGTAACAAATTAAAAATGAAAGACACTGTGTATAATTGATCTAGATATGTGTATAAAAATATAATAAGTCCAAAAGTAATGTCAGAGGCATGATATCATAGAATGTCAGAATTAACTGCCACATGACATGTACACAAAAGAAATGTCAGAGGCATGATATCATAGAATGTCAGAATTAACTGCCACATGACATGTACACAAAAGAAATGTCAGAGGCATGATATCATAAAATGTCAGAATTAACTGCCACATGACATGTACACAAAAGTAATGTCAGAGAGATATCATGATATCATAGAATGTCAGAATTAACTGCCACATGACATGTACACAAAAGAAATGTCAGAGGCATGATATCATAGAATGTCAGAATTAACTGCCACATGACATGTACACAAAAGTAAGGAGAGAGACAATGATATCATAGAATGTCAGAATTAACTGCCACATGACATGTACACAAAAGAAATGTCAGAGGCATGATATCATAGAATGTCAGAATTAACTGCCACATGACATGAACACAAAAGAAATGTCAGTGGCATGATATCATAGAATGTCAGAATTAACTGCCACATGACATGAACACAAAAGAAATGTCAGAGGCATGATATCATAGAATGTCAGAATTAACTGCCACATGACACGAACACAAAAGTAATGTCAGAGGCATGATATCATAGAATGTCAGAATTAACTGCCACATGACATGTACACAAAAGAAATGTCAGAGGCATGATATCATAGAATGTCAGAATTAACTGCCACATGACATGTACACAAAAGAAATGTCAGAGGCATGATATCATAGAATGTCAGAATTAACTGCCACATGACACGAACACAAAAGTAATGTCAGAGGCATGATATCATAGAATGTCAGAATTAACTGCCACATGACACGAACACAAAAGTAATGTCAGAGGCATGATATCATAGAATGTCAGAATTAACTGCCACATGACACGAACACAAAAGTAATGTCAGAGGCATGATATCATAGAATGTCAGAATTAACTGCCACATGACATGTACACAAAAGAAATGTCAGAGGAAATGTCAGAGGCATGATATCATAGAATGTCAGAATTAACTGCCACATGACATGAACACAAAAGTAAGGAGAGAGACAATGATATCATAGAATGTCAGAATTAACTGCCACATGACATGAACACAAAAGTAATGTCAGAGGCATGATATCATAGAATGTCAGAATTAACTGCCACATGACACGAACACAAAAGTAATGTCAGACACACATAAAACAGTAAACTCCAGGGTAACACACTTGTAAATGCTAACTATATATAGGCTGATATATCTAAATTTCCTCTTATCCTTACGCGGTATGTCGATGACAATATTAAACCTCTGAAGTAATATATATGTGAAAGTTGTCCCTGTGAAATAAATTTTGTACCCAAGAATCAGACAGCCAGTTTAGCCAACAATGTTACACAGGTTTAAGGATAATGCTATTTTAGTTCCTATTTCCTAACACAATTTTATTTTATAATCCTCTTTCACATGTCTAAATCTGGCTGCTCATTTACTTCTGTATCATCACATTCTCTCCTCACATAAAAGTCTGTAAAATTCCTTCCGTGGTAGTTGTAGAGCATCACAACCCCATCTCTCTTACTATCCATAGTCATTAAAAGATTGTGAAATACCTCTCCTCGCTTCTCACATATGCAGTACCACAATTCCATTTACAAAAATGTTTTTTCTCTTTTTACTTAAAGTTTGTAAAATGCCTTGATCTCCTCACTCCTCACAACTATCAGAATTCCATTTCTTTTTCCTTTTACCAAAGTTTATAAAATGGCTCAAAGTCCTCACTCCTCACAGCTGTACAGATTCACAATTCCATTACTTTCTCACTTCACTCAAAGTTTGTAAACAAAAAGCCTCCCTCTCCTCACTCCTCACAGCTGTACAGATTCACAATTCCATTACTTTCTCACTTCACTCAAAGTTTGTAAACAAAAAGCCTCCCTCTCCTCACTCCTCACAGCTGTACAGATTCACAATTCCATTAAAAAAAGTATTTCTCCCTTCACTCAAAGTTCGAAAAAATGTCTCAATTTCCTCACAAGGACATCTATAAAAAATCTTGATAACAACCCAGTCTCTCTTCTACCACAAAATAAGGTCAGTCCAAACTCCAAGTATCACAGTGTCACAATTCATCTTGTACTCTTTACATGGTCTGTAGAATTCCTTGTATAATATACTGCAATCTAATCTATGATCGCTCTCTTCCTATCAACGTCTGTAGAATTCCTTGTATGATATACTGCAGTCTTATCTCTGACTGGTCTCTTCTAATCAAGACCTGTAGAATTCCTTGTATAATATACTGCAGTCTAATCTATGATCGCTCTCTTCCAAACAATTCTGTAGAATTCCTTGTATAATATACTGCAGTCTAATCTATGATCGCTCTCTTCCTATCAACGTCTGTAGAATTCCTTGTATGATATAATGCAGTCTAATCTCTGATTGGTCTCTTCCAATCAACGTCTGTAGAATTCCTTGTATAATATACTGCAGTCTAATCTATGATCGCTCTCTTCCTATCAACGTCTGTAGAATTCCTTGTATGATATAATGCAGTCTAATCTCTGATTGGTCTCTTCCAATCAACGTCTGTAGAATTCCTTGTATAATATACTGCAGTCTTATCTCTGACTTCATCTTGTACTCTTTACATGGTCTGTAGAATTCCTTGTATAATATACTGCAGTCTAATCTATGATCGCTCTCTTCCAATCAACGTCTGTAGAATTCCTTGTATAATATACTGCAGTCTTATCTCTGACTGGTCTCTTCTAATCAAGACCTGTAGAATTCCTTGTATAATATACTGCAGTCTAATCTATGATCACTCGCTACCAAGCAATGCCTGTAGAATTCCTTGTATAATATACTGCAGTCTTATCTCTGACTGGTCTCTTCTAATCAAGACCTGTAGAATTCCTTGTGCAATTTTTTGCGACCATTTTTCTGCATAGAATCACAATCCAATCAAAGATGTACAATGTTAGCTATCACATTAAAATAAATCCATAAATTTCTGGTCACAACGTTGTTTCTTTAGATGTTTTCCTCCCTTCCAAAATATCAAAATACCTGAAAAATAACAATTTACAGCTATATACCATCAACATTCATATAAAACCTCCTTTAAACCTCATGTTTTTAATACAGAGGAAAATTAAATGACAAAAAAAAAAAAAAAAAAGATTCAGACAAATATGTTAGCATTTAAAAATCCTGTGTTGAAATCTTTTCTGGTTTGCTGGAATGTTGAAATAAGAAGTAATAAAAGCTATCTATTGAAGAGGAATTGAAAATGTCACATGACTACCGTATGTGTTGACTACCTCACTTGTGTTTCTTATAAATGAAAACTCTCGAGTTTTAAGATAAAACAGTTTCTACAGATTACAGTCACACAAGAAACCTTAATCCACTACAACATATATCATTATAAAGAAGAATGATGTTTTTTGTTTGTTTGACATCATTCTGACTTATGTATCAAACATTCTGACTTAGAGTCACTTCTCCCGACAAGGTCAAGAGCTTAGTTCCAATAGTGATTGTTATTCTTGTTTCATGTTAAATCTTAGTCCATGATAATGTACAATTCATTAAGACCTTACCCATCCAGTATATCATCAAGCCACATACGATGACTGAGAGATTCTATCCATGTTGGGGGGATAGCCTCCACCCCTAGTTTACAACCCAGTAGAGCTCCAGCCACAGCAGCATTGGCATCAGCATCGCCTCCCTGCAATAAACAGTTCCTTTATCACTGACATTTCTTATAACTGATATAACATTGAAATTTGGGTACACATTAATTTATTATATAGCAAATAATTTTCAATCACTTGTTCAATTTCAAAGTAACATGTTTAAGAGTACCTCTAGCACTATATCTTGTATGGCTTGTCTGAAATCCTTCTGACGAAGTGCCCACAGCCCCACCCCTAGGGTCTTGTAGGTGTAGTTAGCACGTCCAGGCTCATCAAGCTTCAGGTCCTTCAGGGAGCAATAGGACATATAGCGTTTCAACTCCTTTACCTGGCAACATGAACACTATTCATGGAGACATTGTGTTGTATGGTAGATTAACATAGCAGCCTGGCATTGTCGATACTAAGTATTGTACTGGATAATGTTTTCAAAGTTTACTGACCAACAGTTTGAAAAAACTAACTAAAGAATTCATCAAGTCCCTTTCTTCAAAATCTTTGGCCTGAATAAATGAACACTGGCAGATAGATTTAGTTTTAAAAAAGCATTTATAAAGAGCTGAGGTGTGCTTTGAAGTTTTTTCAAGGCCCACTTATTCAAATGAACTCATGTTTCATACTTCATTCAAAAGGTGTACTTTTCTCAAAAAAATACAGGGAAACTTCTCTTTTTACATGGCAAAAATAAAAGGCAAGCTACAGTTTGATTGTTTCATATTAATCTACAATTGCCTTTAATACAAGGAATTAATGAACTGGTTCAGGTGAAGGCAAAACAATAAAAATTATTCTTTCCCTATAGACAGCATTTTGTTATCAAGATCATTTGTTCATAATGAAATTTTCTCTGGGAGCCACAGAGTCCAGTTTAACCAGATTTTTCTGACACTTTACCTCCTCTGCTGTGCTTAGTATCCTGGCAGCGTACTTGTAGGTTTCATCAATGATACCATCCACATTGTAGTTGCCATTTTTCTTTATATGTCGTTCATTTTTCTGCAGCATTAGGGCTATAGCAACAGTGACTGCCACACAGGATGCTTGACACCTGAACATGACAGATAACAAGGCGTTGCTAATGTCAGAAGTAAAACATGTTGAATAATGCGATTGAGTTACAGATAGGTACAACATCTGTACTATAGAAATGCTATGAATACAATACATACTAGAGATGGGTTTCCACATATTTTCACAAATTTCCCTTCTAGAGGAAAGTCAATGAAATCTTTACTTTCTTTTTGGGTTTATTATAAAAACATAAGAATTCAATTAACACAGCATAAGTCAAGTAGTATGAAGAGTAAGGTTTAGGAATAAGAAACATTTATCAAAGAATAACTTTCCATTAGTATACATGCATAACACACCCTCTCGACATGCTGTGTTAGATTTTTAAAATTAGCAATGTTATGTCTGAAGGTGTGAACTGATAATATGTCTGGGAGTGTGGACTGACATCAGGTCTGGGTCTGAGAGTGTGGAGTGTGGAGTGTGAACTGACATCAGGTCTGTGGAACATCAGTGTGGAACTGACATCAGGTCTGGGAGTGTGGACTGACATCAGGTCTGGGAGTGTGGACTGACAACAGGTCTGGGAGTGTGGACTGACATCAGGTCTGGGAGTGTGGACTGACAACAGGTCTGGGAGTGTGGACTGACAACAGGTCTGGGAGTGTGGACTGACAACAGGTCTGGGAGTGTGGACTGACATCAGGTCTGGGAGTGTGGACTGACAACAGGTCTGGGAGTGTGGACTGACATCAGGTCTGGGAGTGTGGACTGACATCAGGTCTGGGAGTGTGGACTGACAACAGGTCTGGGAGTGTGGACTGACAACAGGTCTGGGAGTGTGGACTGACATCAGGTCTGGGAGTGTGGACTGACATCAGGTCTGGGAGTGTGGACTGACAACAGGTCTGGGAGTGTGGACTGACATCAGGTCTGGGAGTGTGGACTGACAACAGGTCTGGGAGTGTGGACTCACAACAGGTCTGGGAGAGTGGACTGACATCAGGTCTGGGAGTGTGGACTGACAACAGGTCTGGGAGTGTCTGGGAGTGTGGACTGACATCAGGTCTGGGAGTGTGGACTGACAACAGGTCTGGGAGTGTGGACTGACATCAGGTCTGGGAGTGTGGACTGACATCAGGTCTGGGAGTGTGGACTGACATCAGGTCTGGGAGTGTGGACTGACATCAGGTCTGGGAGTGTGGACTGACATCAGGTCTGGGAGTGTGGACTGACATCAGGTCTGGGAGTGTGGACTGACATCAGGTCTGGGAGTGTGGACTGACATCAGGTCTGGGAGTGTGGACTGACATCAGGTCTGGGAGTGTGAACTGACATCAGGTCTGGGAGTGTGGACTGACATCAGGTCTGGGAGTGTGGAGTGTGGACTGACAAAAGTGTGGACTGGGTCTGGGAGTGTGGACTGACATCAGGTCTGGGAGTGTGAACTGACATCAGGTCTGGGAGTGTGGACTGACAACAGGTCTGGGAGTGTGGACTGACAACAGGTCTGGGAGTGTGGACTGACATCAGGTCTGGGAGTGTGGACTGACATCAGGTCTGGGAGTGTGGACTGACGTTTTAATATGTGTGAGAGTGTGAACTGATGTTATGTCTGGGAGAGTAAATTGATATTGTTTGGGTGTGTGAACTTACCATATGCCTTTGAGTGTAACCTTCCTTTATGTGCAAGTGTGTGACTTTAACTTATGTGTTGGTGGGTAACTTGTCATATTTGTGGGTGTGTGACCTTATCTTATTGTGTATGTGTGGGTGTGTGACCTTGTCTTATACTGTATGTGTGGGTGTGTGACCTTATCTTATACTGTATGTGTGGGTGTGTGACCTTATCTTATGTGTGAGTGTGTGACTTTACCTTATACAAGGAAGGGTAAGTTTCCTTATGTCAAAGTGTGTGACCATAGTCCTAGTGACTTTACCTTACATCTGGGTGTGTGACTTTACAGATGTCCACAGTGTGTGACTTTACCTTACATCTGGGTGTGTGACTTTACAGATGTCCAGTGTGTGTTTGATGACCTTCCCTATGGTGTGGTAACAGTGAACACCTATCACTGCTGTCCGAGATATAGCACTGTTAGTAGCCAGCAATTTACGAGAATCTCGCCACACAATTTCTGCTGCCTTCAAATAGATGAAAACAACAGCAAATCAGAATAGTATTACTTTAACAGGGACCCAATTCTAGCGCAGTTTTAAGATATTCCAAGAGAAATATTGTGAAATTATTTTTTGAAACTACAGATGCTATTGCAATGTTTTATCAAATCATATCTGATATCTATATGACTGATACTGATCAAATTGTTGTAAAATAGTCTAGAGGCTAAAGTCTTATTCTAAAGCTATGTCTCAGGTTTTCATTTCACTGGAAGTCTCCCCTTATGTGGCTACTAATAATGGTAGGACATTGGAATCATGAGATCTAGTTGCCTTCATTGGGTGTCTTATAATGCATGCCCCTGATATATGGCAATATTCATCTTTGTCTACATTGTAATTCTGAAAAACATTTACCTTGACTTTGATCCAGGGATCATCATGCTTGTTTTGCTTTAGTACTTCCATTAAAACATTCAAAATTTATTTTATTCTTTGTTGTTTTTATCTTCAAACTATAATACATGACTGACGACTCTCTATGTGAAGGGAGGTAATCCAATAGAGCAGACAGAAAACTTGAGAATAAGGACCCCAAGAATGGCATGTTCCTGCATAGAGTATTCACCCCCTTTTTGACACGACAGTTTTTGCCTAAAATAGTGTGCACTATATGCACAAATTTACTGTACTTTTTATCATTAGCCAAAATAAGTGGATGTAACTCTTTCAAAATTAAACAGAACCTGAAGTAAGGAGATCCCTGGGAACTATAATGCTAATCTACATTGGACAGTTCATCATCTGACACAACATGAAGTGTTAGGCATACAGAATCCGAGACAATATCCCAAAATCTGAATTATGGATATATGTTATGAACTCACTTTTTCAGGAGTTTCTGAGAACTGTGGGTGATTGATTACAGCTTTAACCTGAGGACATGGTCCGAGACCACACACATCTCCAAGCTCTGGAAATCCATGTTCTGACCACTCAATCAACCGCTTCGCAAAGTCAATTGGTATTACCTTAAAAATACATACCGGGGTATATATAAATGATTTTTAAACAGAATAAGAACTACTTTAGTAGGCATACTGCAGAGCTCCTTTACATCCTCCACTCCAAAATATTTCAAGATAAATGATATATTCTTAAAAAGAAATCCTAGATGCATTATAAAATCAACATAGACACAATATCAAGGTATTACATATACTATAGTCCAGCACTACTTGCTAATCATTTGTCGGGTCATTATATGAATATTATGGAATGTAAATCATTACAAATATCTCTGCTCACTTTAAAAGTTTGGACACTTAGCTTTGGTTTTCATGGGTGTTTCAGACAAGTACTGTAGTAATGTATAGCTACTTTCTCCTGTTATAATACTTATATGGGTAAGAATGGCTACCTCAAACTCTGCAAGTCTTCTCATACAATATGATTAGAGTATTCAATTAAAAACGGTTCAGTTGCTATAGTAAAGGTCTATCTGATTTAGGTTACCTCTCCTTTGTTCTTGAGAATTGATTGTAAAATTAGGATCATAATGTCCGACTCATCCGTCCAGTCTCCAATCTTCCACTTTCTCCTGTGACTGTCTGGCAATATTTTCTTGTGAACCAGTTCAAACTTATGGTACACTTCCTTGTATTTCTTTAAATGAGAGAATACTTATACAGAAAAATATCACTTAACAGTGGATTAAAACTGAGAAGTCACTTCATGCCCAAATTACAATTTCACTGCATTCATAAAGTTTCAACAAAAAAAATGTTAGAATCACATTTACAGATCAGCAAAAGTGATTGGTATATAACTCAAGTTAAAATTACAATAGTGAACAGTGAATCGAGGCAGTAAGTATAATACATACATACTTTTGCTGTTTTATCAGGGTTCCAAATTTTATAAGATTAGTACAAAAAACAAGTCAAACATTTTTTCATTATTAGCATAACCTACAGCCACCTGCAGAACCTTACAGGCAAAAGTCAATGCCTTCACATGACCATCAATAAGCAAACAGTAACATATATTGATGACATGTCTTACACATGTACCTTCTTTGTCTCATCTCTTGTCAAAGTCTCTGTCAGCAAACCGAGGGCATCTCCAATACAATGACCATAGACGGTGGCATATATTCTGTCATAAACACGATGAACTTCCTTCCTGATCATCTAGCAGGTAAGAAAACAAGATCTATATTTGTTATAGAATAGAAACTATGTTCTGATCAGTCCTCTAAGAGACTCTCAAATGTAAAATTAGACATCAATCATTGTATGGTATTGTACATGCCCTATATTTTTACATTTATATCAGACAAAGACCCCCAAATATGTACCTTACATGACGAATAATGGAACAGTTAATGTTAGTCATCTTAATTAATGTTGGGGTTTTTTTGTGGGGGAGGGGATTATGCTATTTTTATTTTTATATCTAAATAATCTGTATAGTAGAGCAGTTTAGAAGTATATATGAAGCCCTCTGGCTGCACTAGCAATTTGGCTTAAATCTGGGTGTGTTGTGCAATTTTATTTTTTTTAACTTGAATGCATTAAGAAGGGAATTGAATACGATATCGACATCGATTACAATACAAAAAATACATATGACTCATATATCAATACATCAACTGATGTAGAAGAAAGTTTGACAAAATTGGTAATTTTGACAGATGCCGTTTGTTGGCAGATATACAAAACATTCTTTGAATTCCACCGAGACACTTAGGGAAGTAATCGATGATAACGTATCTAACATTCAACATTGAGCATCATTCGTGATAAATGACAATATCACTTATCTCTTGTACGATTTAGCAAGCAATTTACCCGAGTGTAAGGGTGATATCTCTTTGTCGGTGTGGATGTTGGTTTCAATTTCCCGCTGAGCGGGTTTGAGAACGTCGCCATCTTCACACGTAGTGGTACTTAACATAAGTAATCTCCTTATTACAACCGAACCAAAATCAACTTACAGATATATCATTCGCGTTAAACGATTTTCCTGGAGATTGGAAGGCTTTATGACAAATGTCTATATATGTTTATTTATTTCATGAGTCTCTTTAAGTCAAGTGGTATTCAATTTAACAATCTAACTCTCTACCCACATGGAAGTCATTGAAGAAAGAAGAAACCCCCAGCTGTTTCGCCCCACCAAACGACGATTCGTCCCCATTTTGGAGTTTCGAACCTACATTCCAGAATAATGTCAATCATTGACACATTTTAAATAACAGATTTGCGTTTTAATCGTACGCATTGTCATCTGTAGCAGTGACCTGACTGTGTTACTTAATTAGATATAATAATGGCAATGAAGTGTTAGCTAAGAACAACAGATACACAATATCTATTGCGGAACTCGTTATAAATGGTTGTGATTTATTCATATACAACCAAACAACTGATGAGGAAATGAGAGGAACGACGTTGTACATACAGTCAGAATCGAAAGCCACAGAGGTAATCATGAAAACAAAATGCAAGGAACAAGTATGGATGAGTATCCAGTTCAGTAAACCCGGTGATAAACGTCTGATTTGATGTACATACTAGAGCCCAAATAGTTGTGAGGGAAATAATGAGAAATTTAATACTTTGTTGTGTGAGACAGGGGAATCAGCTTGCTCACCTTAGCTCATCAGGGGCGCGATTTCAGCTACCGAAATATAAACTGGGATATTTGTGCAACAGTTTATAAACATAAGTCTGAATACCACTTCTTGGAAACTATTAGAGACACCTTAGGCTACACCATGTACGTACCCTAAGCAGAGTAAAGGAAAATCAAGAGCCGGGCTTACTGGATTTAATTTCTACTAATAAGGAAAACGTGGTGGGACCCGGAGGTACAAAGTGCGCTTGAGAAGGGTGACCATGCATGTATCTGCGTCAAGTTCGTGTGTACGACTGAAAAATGTAACCGTAATATTGGTCGGAAACTGAACTACGGTATGGGAGACTGTAATAAAACTCGTGAGGAACTCAATATAGACTGGGACTCGTATTTAAGTCCGAGAATTATTAAACTTACAGAATCAGTTGAACCCACATACCCGTATCTGTAACAAAGAAAAGAATCTACCGTCATCCACGGGATAACAAGTCTTTAAAGATAAGAAGAAAGAAGCACAGATGTTAGCAAAGGTTTATGGAAACTAGAGACGGAGAAAAGCACAGAGAACATACCAAAGCCAGGAGCAAAGTAAAAAAAAAAACTTGTAAGAAATGCAAAGAAGAACATGGAAAAAGTATTGCACAAAATGTAAAATCAAATCCAAAGAAATTATGGAAATATGCAAATTCGAAAACTAAGACTAACTCTGGAATTGCGGAACTGCATGTTATGGGAAATAATTAGGGAAAGTACATTGCAAAGAGTGATCAAGTAAAACAACAAACACTGGTAGATTTCATCACAAATATATTCACCAAGGAGCCAGGAGAGGGGGAAATTCCAAAACTCCCAAACATGGGAATTAAAGGTAGTTTTAAAGACCAGGAAGTAACGGAAGGAGAAATGGAGAATATTATTAAGGACCCTAATCCAAATAAACCACAAGGACCGGATAATTCACACCCAATACTACTTAAGGAAGTAAAAGATCTCATTATTAGGCCCCTAAACTTCATCTTTAATCAGTCTTTAGAAGGAGGGGGGATAACAAAAGTTTGGAAAGAAGCCAGGATCACAGCTATTTACAAAACGGAGACAAGAGGCAAGCTGGACACTACAGACCGGTTAGTTTGACCAGTGTAATATGTAACTCGAGTGATGGGGCATTTATCAAACAACAACTCGTTAAGGCAAAGACAGTTTGGTTTTGTCAAAGGAAGATCAACTGTTACAAGGTCATTGATCAGTGGACAGAAATACTGGATAGAGGTGGTAGTGTGGACGTTATGTACATTGACTTCCACAAAGCGTTTAACACTGTTCCCTATCGGAGGCTTATAGGAACATTGGATACATATGGAATATCATTGAAGGTAGGGAATAGATAAATGGGTCCCTGACAGACAGGCAACAGCAAGTGTCAGTAAACGGTCAAACATCGGGATGGCGGCAAGTCACTATCGGTATACCACAGGGTAGTGTCCTTGGTCCTACTCTCTTTCTGTATTAACGACTCACCGGATGCAGTAGAATCTGTTACATGGCGCTCTGCTGATGATACCAGATTGTATACTAACATTCGGGTTGGGAAGAATCTGCAGGTGGATCCGGATAACTTACAACAATGGTCAGATGAATGGCTACTCAGGTTCCACTCTGATAAATGTCATGTAATGGGAGTTGGGAGGGATACAAACTAGGCCAAGCTACATATGCGTAAAGAATATTTTGAACTATTAGAAGATATACATTTTGAATCTGGTACAAGATGTGAAGTTAATTGAGAATGTACAGAGAAGAGCGACAAATTACTATATGGAATATGACATATGAGGAGCGTATGAGACATCTGAAATAGCCACCATTAAAATACCGCAGAGATAGAGGAGACATGATCGAGGTTTTCAATGTGCTAAGTGGCCTGTACGACAAGGATGGACCAAAAGATCTAGCGAGAGGGAATACACTTTCATTGGAGACGTCAAGATCCACCCTCGACATCAGGAAATACTCGTTAACACAGACACTTGTTAACGACCGGAACTTTGGATATCGTCCAATCTCCAACGTTACATTCCATTAAGACCCGACTGAACAAGTTCTGGAAATCAGAAGACATGATGTTCAGTGTACTTTTTGACAACGCAGGCATCACATCATCCAGAAGTGACTACATACATCTGATAAAAGACATGAGTTGGACCTGAGTATAGAGGTCTAATGGCCAGCATTCAGAATCTACAAGGAAGACTAAGTAAGCAAGTGAGTGAGTGAGTTTAGAATCGGTAAGAAATAAAATTACCTCCAATATGAAACGTCTGGGAGCGAATGTAGGTGGAACGAAACGAGTATGTAACCATTGTTTGATCTCCTGGTATATTGTATATAGTGGACGATCAATATTTTATCTAAGAGAGAGAGAGAGAGAGAGAGAGAGAGAGAGAGAGAGAGAGAGAGAGTAGTAGTAGTAGAATGAAGAAACCGTATACTTTACACATCAATACCTGGGTTTTCGGCTGCCTGATTTGACGGAGGTGTCAACCTTTTTGATTTTTAGTCATATAGAATAACAATTCATTAATTTCTATTTCGTTCAGGGTTAACTGTGTAGTTTTACTGGTACCGAATGGTTTGTGTTCATCTGCATCGGACTCAAAATATGCGATGACAATAAATTAATACCACCATATTGTTACAAACAATTTGATTGTTAATATATATCTTGAAATGTACCACAGGATTACTTAAGTTGTTTTTAAAGGAATTGGCTCGTTTTCGTGTAATTTATCTCAACATGAACAGAATAATCACATAATTACGTACACAATCTTGCCTAATTTTACAAGATATTTTCCTATGGAATATGTCATTACACATATCAGTTTTCGGGAAAGGCGCCACTTCGTTGTCGGAAACAAACCACTTTTCCGGTTTGAATACTTGCCTTTATCTATATGCAAATGTGTAACCACGAACTTGGACATATCCGAATTCGTGGTACGACGGTCGTTCGCGGCGGTGTACTTCCTTTACCGTGATTCTGTTGTGTATTTTTCTTAGTTGATTTATTAAACCTTAACGACAGTGCTGTAATTATTTGATGAAAATTGTCAAAAAATGTCTCCAAAACACAGAATGAAATATATTGAGATCCAGTACGTATAGCCATTCGGTTGTTTACACGCCGCCATCTCGAAATGTCCCCCTCCAGACCAATTAACACGACAGTGTTATTAACTGCCATAAGGCATTTGATGATAAATTGTTTTCTTTATCAAAAGTGAATGGTCTAGCTATGGTATTCCGAAAAATTCCGATTTCCATTTTTGCCTCGGAGAGTACGTATTCAAATTACATTTCGTCGTAAGCATTTTGTAAGCTGCTTCCCTTCCATTAAATGATAAATATCGCCAGATTCCTTGCCTGTTGAGTATATGTATATGAAAGTGTTCAAACTGGCGACTGAAGGATCAACTTCAGCCCGCAATTTTTTGTGACGTCCAGATATATTCGCCGGTTCGGTACGTGAGCTATTTAACAAGTGCTCACGAGCGTGTAGAGTAATATCTGTAGTGTCTCAACAGAAACACATGTGCGAAGTAGTAAGAAGTTTCACAGATTTTTTGTGACAACAGTGACTATCATACATACCTGAGGAAGAAATTCTACTTTGAAATGATTCTGCCGGAGGCCACTGAAGGCCAGACGACAGAACTTCTGGGGAAGATAACTGGTAAACAAATATCTCTTCGATACCGGCTTCTAGTTTCCCTCTCGTTGTTTTACAATATTCCGACATTCTAACAATTATAACCGTGGACGTCTTGTTTCTGACAAATTAGACACGTTAATTGAATGATGCTTAAACATCGAATGTTATGAAATAAGATCAAACGCGAATAGTTAAATGAAATCGATAACATCTCTCAAAATAATGATAAATATAAATGAATTAAAACGATAAAATATTTTAAATGGTGCGAATTAGAATTAACCCAGAAGTGTTTTTTCTTCCTAGTATCACCCAGTCATAAGAGAACTATCAAACCATTGTCCTGAAATATGTATTTATTTAGAAACAGTTTTGATAAACGCATATCAAGATTTGTGTCACAGGCCCAGATTTAACTGGAACAAGGATGTTACTGCCCAGGATGTTGAGCCTCATCAATCAGTCAATATATCAATCAATTTGAGGATATCAGCGTTATCACTTATTTAATTTGCTCCATATCAGACTACTAACATGTCAATTCTTATTTCATTTGAGATGTAGCATTATATTTGTGTCACAGTAATGGATTTTTTGAGAGTATTTCTGTATTCGTATACCTAGTATTCAAAATGTAACTAAACTGTTTGTGTAAGATTTCATTTTACGTGTTAAGAATGTATGGCATATGTAGTTTGAGAGCATTTGTGTATTTTAGAAGTGTTGTGAGTATTTGGGTTGTAAGTGTTGAGAAAATGATATACTAATTAATATGAACCAATAATTGGAGTTTGTGACAGTATTATGTATGATACAGTTTGAAATAATCACTGGTCGCGGTGCAGACAACAGTTAACTGATGCATCTCTTTATACACCATTGTTTGTACTGCTTTAAAGGGAAAAGTCTTATCAGGTGGCTACCTCAAAATTGCACATTAGCACAGAACAATCCTGCAGCACATTTCAAATTTCAGTAGGGTTATCTGTTATCCCCTAATTGAAGGCCTAGTGTCATGGTTAATGAGCTTTGTAGAGTCCCTTAACAAAAAAGATATTTCAATGAAATTATCAGTGTAAATTGACTTTCAGCTAAAATTTCTTTGATCAGAATCATTGGCATGTTTATCTATTGACTGTAACCATGAGCAATATCTCTACATTATTTATGTATTTTGTTTTCTAGCTCCAACAGTCTTCCAGATAGAACCAGTTGGTCGATGGTATGAGGCACTCTGTGCAAGGCGACGTCACAAACACTCTCTGTCTCATCACTCCCTAGAGAGCTCAAGCTCCGACGAGAGTGATGATGATGAGGGCATGGATGATGATGGAGATGATGCTCTTCTGTTGGGCTTAGACCCAAGGGAGTGGAAGGTTAATTGACTGTCTAATTGTTTTTTGATTTTCTTAAAATGTGGTCAACTTATAGTTTTAATTTATTTACGATGTAAGTGTAGTTATCAAGGAAAAATTATCTCTCATGATCATAGTCTAAAGTTCATTACAACATTGGATTGTTATCACATACAAATGTTAATATTAGACTTCTGTTATCATAATGCATACTTTACTATGACCTTGCTATTTTGTATTGTGTAAGACATTTTTCAGAAAAGAAATGATTTCATCATAATGTATTAAAACAATCAGATGTATTATATTTGATTTTAATCGTTCTTTTCATCTTTCAGAGTCAAGACCATTATGCAGTTTTAGGTTTGAAAAAGTTAAGATACAAAGCTACAGAAAACCAGATTAAAAAAGCATGTAAGTATATTGGTAGTTAGTGATCACTAGAAGATCATTCACATTTTTGATATTTTGTAAAAATATTTGATATAATTCTCTATAAAAAAGTATTTTAGCTTAAAAAAAACCCATTCAACATTTCAGATTAATCAATCATTACAGTTATTGTAATTTAATATTTGTCACAATTGTTATGGTTTCCTTTTGATTTATACATATTAAGTAAATTAAATATTGAAAAGTTAGATTTATAATTTAGTCAATGAAGTTTAATTTGGTGTACAGGATATTCATATCAGTTACTATTACATGGAATATGGTTTTTCCCAAAATTGACTTGCTCCTTACAATCGTATTCAGGAAAAAGTTCCTTTTTATCAAAATGACCAGCAGTGATGGTAATATATTTGATAATCTCTCTTATTGATTAATAGATAAAATTGTAGCTGAAAAAAGTATCTAAATATGGTCATGTTGTGTTGTAGATAAAAACAAAGTGTTAAAACATCACCCAGACAAACGACGTGCACGGGGAGTAGTGGTGAAAGGTGAAGGCGATGACGACTACTTTACATGTATAACACGAGGTATGAGGTTCACCATCTAGAACTGTGTAATCTAGGAACTTATAAAAAAACAATGTAAAATAAATCTGTATATTAAGTCATAAATTGTATATCAATAAAAAGTTGATAAACAAATGTATGATAACTAAGTTGACGTTCATTTCTTAATGAACTTGTTATAAACTAGGGTGGATAATAGGAATTCATGATGGATGAGTAAAATGACTGATAACCAGAAGAGAAGTGTATTTATTAATCTGAGAAATAATGAAAATATTTACATACATGTGGTTAATAACATTTTCTGTCATTCATTAATGATATTTGATCTTTTCTTTGGAATCAGTCAGAGCAAGAAGATTATATTGTTGATCTGAAAAATTCCATGATTTACAAAGTAATAAGTAATAAGCAATATATATCCTTGTTCCCAAATGGTGATTGAAATAAGAAATAAAAAATATGAAATAACCATTTGTTTAAATCTGTATCAGCCTATGAAGTATTAGGCTCTCGGACGAAGAGACGATCCTATGACAGTGTAGATCCAGAATTTGATGATAGTATACCCAGCAATAATCAACAGACAAAAGACTCCTTCTTTACTTCATTTGGACCAGTTTTTGAAAGAAATGCAAGGTTTGTATATAGGTTGAAAAAACAGTTTTATTTTAATTTGTAATTATGAGTGTTACAGTGGCTACCTTCATGAAAGGTACAACACTCTAGACTGTTTTGTTCACAACCTAAGTTAGCTGGTTGCTATTAAAACCAGACATATCCAGTATACAAGACTGATATCCAGTGTCAAGATCAGCTGATGTTGTATTTCAGGACACAATGTTATAATAAATTGTATGAAGATATATGGATCTAGGGCAAGTTGTTATTTTTCCTAAACATTTAAGAAATTGAGATTGCTCTTGGAAATGAAAGAAAAAAATGTCGCTGCAGGGTTAATATTTTTGATATACCAGCTGTACTGAGCTACTTTGAAAAAAGAGCCAACTTTGACTGTACATTACCTGCCTCAGATAAGGAATCATTACAAATTATAAGAATTTCCTTAAGAATTTCTCTGTATTTGCTGAGATGGTTTTTGGTTGAAAATCTGTGAAATTCTTGCTGTTCAGTGATTGATAAACAGTTAAAACTGATCCTGTATGAGTTAGGATGATTTAAAGTCAGAAGGTAATTGTATGATGACAGATTAGTGATAAAACAGCAAGAGATTATACATTTTCTGGTAGCAGTCCTGGATACTTAGAAAGTCAAATGGAAAGGAAAATATAGTAAAATTAGGAATGTGACCGGTATCTACTTAGGTTGGAGCTCTTTTTATATATTGACTTGATTTTATTGCTGTTACAGATGGAATAATAGTAAAAAGAAGAAAGTTCCAATGTTAGGAGATGATAATGATTCAATAGACACTGTCAACCATTTCTATTCCTTTTGGTAAGTCTATCTGGTACAACAGATTACTGGAATTTTTTTCACTCTCAACAACCAAATTATTACCAGGCATCAGCTCATTACTTTATAAGTACTATGGTCTGCTATATGAACATATGTTAACTTTGGTACATGTGACTGCTTTTATAAGGTAGTATGATTGATATAATCTAATTGTAGACAGAACACTCCTGTCTCTACAAATACAGGATTTTATATGAGTGTCTTACAACATTTATGTCATGACCATATGACAGGAAATGAAAAGCAAGTTATATGATGAATGTTTTTTTTATGAAATCTCGTCTGTTTTTGAATAGATTATGAAATATTAAATAAATGTGAACAGCTTTGGTGTGAAATGTCTGAAATGTCCTTATCTGTTGCTCATGTAAGGTAATCAAATATGGAATGGATATCAAGGGGTCAAGGTCTTTTGTGACCAAACATTTCATTTCTCTACCGTAGAAAATGATTTACCATTGAAACACTGTATCATATAGAAGGAAGACCTAGACTGTGTGCAGAATCTGTATGTGATTTACAGATAAGCTATTTACCTTTAAATCATAATATTAAAAGTGATTTTATTATTGAAGGTATGATTTTGATTCCTGGCGAGAATATTCATATCTAGATGAAGAGGAAAAAGAAAAGGGAGAGAAGTAAGTTTTCTGATGTTTTCAAATGTGGTATTATGACAATGTTGAAAAACTATTTATGTTTCCTGAAACTTATTTTTTAATTTATTATTCTGATTCAGAAATTTATTTTTGCTGGAAGTTTGAATATGAAAACATGTTGGTCTGTGATGTGTGTAAAACTTTACTTTACAGTCGTGAAGAAAGACGATGGATAGAAAAACAAAATAAAGCAGCAAGACTAAAGAAAAAAAAGGAAGAGAGTGCACGAATACGCCTTTTAGTAGGTCTGTTGACTAGATCATATTTTAGTCTGACTTAATAAAATATTTCTATAAATTTCTCTAAGTTCTTTTGACTGAATTATTTCTTTGTTTAAAGATTGAGAAAATTAATAATTTGCGCATATTTTTATAGGAACTTGGCCGCTATGGGCAGGTAATTTTGTTTGATCTTGAATTTAATGTATGCGATCTCACTGTTCACAATAAGATACAGTGGGGCTGAGAGCATGGATAAACAGTATCTACCTAATGTCTTTCATTGTTAGAGCTTCCTAGAAACACACACTCTGTATTCATAGGGACGTTAATTTAACATTAAAAAGTTAACATTTTACTGTTGTTATTCACTGGATATCAGCGTTTGATATTTTCAACAGTGCATAATGAACATTAGAAAATAAAACCAAATTATGGTTTCAGATAATGCCTATGCCTGTGATCCAAGAATACAAAAATTTAGAGATGAAGAAAAAGAGAAAAAATTAGCACAGAAACGTGCTAAACAGGAGGCTGCTCGACAGAGAGCAGAAGAGGAAGAAAGGGTGAACATTTCTTTTGTAGTTATAATTAATCTCAAGCACCAGAACTAATTTAAACATTTAATGTGATTTATAAAGTATAACGACCAGTCTGTGTCTTAAGTATCAGTTTGGATTCAAATTATTTTTGATGTGTAATGTCTAATCACCCTTTTTGATAAATATTTGATAAAGTAACAGTATCATTTTGGATATTTATTGTGAATTAGAACATGTACTGACTATCATTTCTATAATAGAAAAAGCAGGAAGCACTGGAGGAAGAAAGGAAAAAAAGGGAAAAAGAAGAGGAAGAGGCAAAAGCCCAGGTAAGATGTAAAAACAAAAGCATTTTGTAGGTACAGTGAGATAACTAAGTCATGTTGGACACAGAGTGTTAACACCAAGTCTTATTGTCACATAGACCTAGGTACAGTGAGATAACTAAGTCATGTTGGACACAGAGTGTTAACACCAAGTCTTATTGTCACATAGACCTAGGTACAGTGAGATAACTAAGTCATGTTGGACACAGAGTGTTAACACCAAGTGTTATTGTCACATAGACCTAGGTACAGTGAGATAACTAAGTCATGTTGGACACAGAGTGTTAACACCAAGTCTTATTGTCACATAGACCTAGGTACAGTGAGATAACCAGGTCATGTTGGACACAGAGTGTTAACACCAAGTCTTATTGTCACATAGACCTAGGTACAGTGAGATAACTAAGTCATGTTGGACACAGAGTGTTAACACCAAGTCTTATTGTCACATAGACCTAGGTACAGTGAGATAACCAGGTCATGTTGGACACAGAGTGTTAACACCAAGTGTTATTGTCACATAAACCTAGGTACAGTGAGATAACTAAGTCATGTTGGACACAGAGTGTAAACACCAAGTCTTATTGTCACATAGACCTAGGTACAGTGAGATAACCAGGTCATGTTGGACACAGAGTGTTAACACCAAGTGTTATTGTCACATAGACCTAGGTACAGTGAGATAACTAAGTCATGTTGGACACAGAGTGTAAACACCAAGTCTTATTGTCACATAGACCTAGGTACAGTGTGATAACTAAGTCATGTTGGACACAGAGTGTAAATACCAAGTGTTATTGTCACATAGACCTAGGTACAGTGAGATAACTAAGTCATGTTGGACACAGAGTGTAAATACCAAGTGTTATTGTCACATAGACCTAGGTACAGTGTGATAACTAAGTCATGTTGGACACAGAGTGTAAATACCAAGTGTTATTGTCACATAGACCTAGGTACAGTGTGATAACTAAGTCATGTTGGACACAGAGTGTTAACACCAAGTCTTATTGTCACAGAGACCTGTGTAGATTGTGATAACCAAGTCATGTTGGACACAGAGTGTTAACACCAAGTCTTATCATCACATAGACCTAGGTACAGTGAGATAACTAAGTCATGTTGGACACAGAGTGTAAATACCAAGTGTTATTGTCACATAGACCTAGGTACAGTGAGATAACTAAGTCATGTTGGACACAGAGTGTTAACACCAAGTCTTATTCTCACATAGACCTAGGTACAGTGAGATAACTAAGTCATGTTGGACACAGAGTGTTAACACCAAGTCTTATTGTCACATAGACCTAGGTACAGTGAGGTAACTAAGTCATGTTGGACACAGAGTGTTAACACCAAGTCTTATTGTCACATAGACCTAGGTACAGTGAGATAACTAAGTCATGTTGGACACAGTGTTAACACCAAGTCTTATTGTCACATAGACCTAGGTACAGTGAGATAACTAAGTCATGTTGGACACAGAGTGTAAATACCAAGTCTTATTGTCACATAGACCTAGGTACAGTGTGATAACTAAGTCATGTTGGACACAGAGTGTTAACAAGTCTTATCATCACATAGACCTAGGTACAGTGAGATAACCAAGTCATGTTGGACACAGAGTGTTAACACCAAGTCTTATTGTCACAGAGACCTGTGTAGATTGTGATAACCAAGTCATGTTGGACACAGAGTGTTAACACCAAGTCTTATCATCACATAGACCTAGGTACAGTGAGATAACCAAGTCATGTTGGACACAGAATGTAAACAAGTCTTATTGTCACATAGACCTAGGTACAGTGAGATAACCAAGTCACGTTGGACACAGAATGTAAACAAGTCTTATTGTCACATAGACCTAGGTACAGTGAGATAACCAAGTCATGTTGGACACTGAGTGTAAATACTGTGTCTTATTGTCACATAGACCTAGGTACAGTGAGATAACCAAGTCATGTTGGACACAGAGTGTTAACATTAAGTCTTATCATCACATAGACCTAGGTACAGTGAGATAACCAAGTCATGTTGGACACAGAGTGTAAACAACAAGTCTTATTGTCACATAGACCCGTGTAGATTGTGATAACCAAGTCATGTTGGACACAGAGTGTAAACAAGTCTTATTGTCACATAGACCTAGGTACAGTGAGATAACCAAGTCATGTTGGACACAGAGTGTAAACAAGTCTTATTGTCACATAGACCTAGGTACAGTGAGATAACCAAGTCACGTTGGACACAGAATGTAAACAAGTCTTATTGTCACATAGACCTAGGTACAGTGAGATAACCAAGTCATGTTGGACACAGAGTGTAAACAAGTCTTATTGTCACATAGACCTAGGTACAGTGAGATAACCAAGTCATGTTGGACACAGAGTGTAAACAAGTCTTATTGTCACATAGACCTAGGTACAGTGAGATAACCAAGTCATGTTGGACACAGAGTGTAAACAAGTCTTATTGTCACATAGACCTAGGTACAGTGAGATAACCAAGTCATGTTGGACACAGAGTGTAAACAAGTCTTATTGTCACATAGACCTAGGTACAGTGAGATAACCAAGTCATGTTGGACACAGAGTGTAAACAAGTCTTATTGTCACAGAGACCTGTGTAGATTGTGATAACCAAGTCATGTTGGACACAGAGTGTAAACAAGTCTTATTGTCACATAGACCTAGGTAGACTAATATGACAATTTTGTTCTTAGGCTGCAGCAGCGAAAAAAGAAAAGGAGGCACAGAAAAAAATCTTGAAAAAGGAAAGGAAAGCCTTGCGTACCTCTGTAAAAGTAAGTATTGTATGAGTTTGATGCCTGAAAAGTCTCTCTGTATCAAACTTGTATAATTTCTCTGTCTCTGATATGATTTTTGATAAGTTATTCATGGTTTTCAAGCCATTGATGTGTGAGAAGAATCTTCTAATCTTGACAGTTAATTAATTCCTTGATTTAGGAATTTCGTGGATACAAAAGTACCCAAGAAATCAACAAAAATGAATATACCCTGAAAACTGATACTTCAATTCTGTATATCAACTTTAAAGTTTTAGGATTAAAAATGGCTATCATTACCATGGAAACCATTATATCTGGAGTTATATTTAGTCCGGTACTTTGGTACTTTAATGGAAGAAATACCTATATAGTGCACTTTATGTAAAAATGACTGACGTTTATTTTTGTTTTTATTGAAATTAAAGTTTTATTTTTGTACTGTTTACTTAAACTTTTCTGTTGGTCTTTCAGGACATGGATGTACTGTTTACTTAAACTTTTCTGTTGGTCTTTTAGGACATGGATGTACTGTTGACTTAAACTTTTCTGTTGGTCTTTCAGGACATGGATGTACTGTTTACTTAAACTTTTGTTTACTTAAACTTTTCTGTTGGTCTTTCAGGACATGGATGTACTGTTTACTTAAACTTTTCTGTTAGTCTTTCAGGACATGGATGTACTGTTTACTTAAACTTTTCTGTTGGTGTTTCAGGACATGGATGTACTGTTTACTTAAACTTTTCTGTTGGTCTTTCAGGACATGGATGTACTGTTTACTTAAACTTTTCTGTTGGTTTTTCAGGACATGGATGTTCTATTTACTTAAACTTTTTTGTTGGTTTTTCAGGACATGGACTATTTTGCTACATCAGAACAGGAAAGAGTATCCAACATGGCCGATGTTGATCGACTAGCAGATCTCTTGTCTTTGACCAAGTATGAATTTACAATCTATAATGATGTCTTATGTACGGAAAATCTACCGCAACGGGATGAAAGTCTTTCGCTTAGTCTGATATTATCAAAGGTTCTACACTATACATCTAGCTTGAATTGAAAAAATATGAACAAAAATCAAAACAAAAGTAGGAGCAGTCACCATGTTTAAAATTTTTATTTGTCACTTTCTAAGAAATTTGAATATTATTCTAAAAACAGAAATGATATAATGGATTTAGTCTGGAGTGTTAGCATGCTAATTTAGTGTAAAGTTTGATCAAGATCTGAAATTTAGGTCACAGTTATGAAATGCATTTGAATCATGGATGAACAACACAGGCACAATGGACCAGATGTTTTGTAAAAGTAAGGCTTTTATGCTGTTATTTGTCAACATCCAAACTATAGCATCATAAAGTCAATTGATTATGATCTTTTACTCTCAAAATGTCCCCTTCCGTACCCTGAATTTCTGGAAATGTTAAGTTGTTCATATCCCTCTATATCATACGGTAGGAGGCTGAGGCATAGTTTTACCTGTGTCTGTCCGTCCCATCCTTACATCCCATTTATATTCACCCTGAGTAACATATCTACACCTGATCAGATTTGGGTTTGCATGGGAGCATAAGTATTCATGTCTTACTGAAATTATCCTGTATTTGATTATTCATTTTCCAAATGAATGCAAATTTTACTATGATGTAGTCTATAATTAAGTTCAATAAGTTTTTCGTAATTCCTACAGTCAGGCTGTGGAGAAACCTGTGTTTATATACACCTTAATTCCTACAGTCAGGCTGTGGAGAAACCTGTGTTTATATACACCTTGATTCCTACAGTCAGACTGTGGAGTAACCTGTGTTTATATACACCTTAATTCCTAGTCAGACTGTGGAGTAACCTGTGTTTATATACACCTTAATTCCTACAGTCAGGCTGTGGAGTAACCTGTGTTTATATACACCTTAATTCCTACAGTCAGGCTGTGGAGTAACCTGTGTTTATATACACCTTAATTCCTACAGTCAGGCTGTGGAGTAACCTGTGTTTATATACACCTTAATTCCTACAGTCAGGCTGTGGAGTAACCTGTGTTTATATACACCTTAATTCCTACAGTCAGGCTGTGGAGTAACCTGTGTTTATATACACCTTAATTCCTACAGTCAGGCTGTGGAGTAACCTGTGTTTATATACATCACATTATACATATCAACAGGTTACAAGGTCTTAATGAAGATTTGAGTTCTGGGGACAAGGACAAGGCCAAGACAGCATGTTTATATACACCTTAATTCCTACAGTCAGGTGGTAAATAACCTGTGTGTATATACACTATATCTACCATTAGGTGTATATCTACCAGTAGGTCATATACACCATTAGGTCAGTATATCTACCAGTAGGTCAGTATATCTACCATTAGGTCAGTATATCGGCCAGTAGGTCAGTATATCTGCCAGTAGGCCAGTATATGTACCAGTAGGTCAGTAGATTAGCCAGCAGGCCAGTATATCTACCATTAGGTCAGTATATCTGCCAGTAGGTCAGTATATCTACCAGTAGGTCACTATATCTACCATTAGGTCAGTATATCTGCCAGTAGGCCAGTATATCTACCAGTAGGTCACTATATCTACCATTAGGTCAGTATATCTACCAGTAGGCCAGTATATCTACCATTAGGTCAGTATATCTACCAGTAGGTCACTATATCTACCAGTAGGTCAGTATATTTACCATTAGGTCAGTATATCGGCCAGTAGGTCAGTATATCTGCCAGTAGGCCAGTATATCTACCAGTAGGCCAGTATATCTGCCAGTAGGCCAGTATATCTACCAGTAGGCAGTATATATACCATTAGGTCAGTATATCTGCCAGTAGGTCAGTATATCTACCAGTAGGTCACTATATCTACCATTAGGTCAGTATATCTACCAGTAGGCCAGTATATCTACCATTAGGTCAGTATATCTACCAGTAGGTCACTATATCTACCAGTAGGTCAGTATATTTACCATTAGGTCAGTATATCGGCCAGTAGGTCAGTATATCTGCCAGTAGGCCAGTATATCTACCAGTAGGCCAGTATATCTACCAGTAGGCCAGTATATCTACCAGTAGGCAGTATATATACCATTAGGTCAGTATAATCTGCCAGTAGGTCAGTATATCTACCATTAGGTCAGTAGATTAGCCAGTAGGCCAGTATATCTGCTAGTAGGTCAGTAGATTAGCCAGCAGGCCAGTATATCTACCATTAGGTCAGTAGATTAGCCAGCAGGCCAGTATATCTACCATTAGGTCAGTATATCTACCAGTAGGTCAGTATATCTACCATTAGGTCAGTATATCTACCAGTAGGTCAGTATATCTACCATTAGGTCAGTATATCTGCCAGTAGGCCAGTATATGTACCATTAGGTCAGTATATCGGCCAGTAGGTCAGTATATTGGTCAGTATATCTGTCAGTAGGTCAGTATATCTACCAGTAGGCCAGTAGATTAGCCAGTAGGCCAGTAAATCTGCCAGTAGGTCAGTAGATTAGCCAGTAGGCCAGTATATCTGCCAGTAGGTCAGTAGATTAGCCAGTAGGCCACTATATCTGCCAGTAGGCCAGTATATCTACCAGTAGGCCAGTATATCTACCATTAGGTCAGTATATCTGCCAGTAGGCCAGTATATCTACCAGTAGGTCAGTAGATTAGCCAGTAGGCCAGTATATCTGCCAGTAGGTCAGTAGATTAGCCAGTAGGTCACTATATCTGCCAGTGTATATTTGCCAGTGGGTCAGTTTATCTACAAGTAGGTCAGTATCTATACTGTTTCAAGTTACAGATATCTTACAACTGTTCCAACCGACTAATATTTTACAACCATACCAAGTTACTTATATCTTAAAACCATGTCATGTGATTGGTATCTTAAAACCATATATAACAAAGTTATCAATTCATAATAGTGTGAAGTTTGTGAATATGAAAATTCTTTAAAAAATTGTCGTTCATTTGTCCGTTGAATTATCATCAATGATAAATAAGTCATTGAACGAATGATTCTGATGTGTTTTACGATTATAAACAGTAAATGGTTCCTGATACAGGTAGATGAACTTAACAAGAAGTTGGAGGAGGAGAAGAGAGCACAGTTGGAGGCTGTTCATCGCCAGGCATCTGGTGAAAACTCCCATAGCCGAGTAAAGGAATGGAAGGAAGAGGAAGTCCAGTTCCTCATCAAAGCAGTCAATCTATTCCCAGCAGGAACCAAAGACAGGTGGATCAGTCAGCAGAATCACCTGAGAAATAAAAACTCAGACATTGATGGTTGTGGCTTGAAAATAAAATAACATTATTGTGTTTATAATTATTTTCAGACATGAAAGTAAAGCTGAATTGACGATATTAGATACGTCAGTCTTCTTCCATAAAAAACTATAACCTAAACACAGTGGTTTGTACAGTTGACGAGATTCATGTCCTTGGACTGATGATTCTGTCGGTTATTATGTCTATCCATTTGGAACATATAGAAAATATTTTGGTTATAATGATGTTGCCCACATTCTTAGAATTATGACCAAAAGCACAGTTTACATGGTTTTCAGATATAGTGTTATTGCCCTTTTTTATTTGTAGTACTGAATGATCGAGGTTCCATGGATTACTTGCTGTACTTTGCCTTGTTTAAAATGCATTATTTAAGATTTTTTTGTTATGAAATGAACAAAGATTATGTTTGGACAGTTGGATAATTGAGAACAAAATTTGATTGACTTGAATTACTCTTAGTTTTTCTGTTCAAATTAAATATTCATGGGTAATCACTGGAAAAGAATATTCAAGGATATCTGTTAAATCAGACTTAATTTCTAATCTTTGGTGAATACATCTATATTTCTTTTGCAGGTGGGAAGTCATTGCAAGTTTTATTAAACAACATGTGACAGCAAGTAATAAAAATGCAAGAGATGTGTTGGGAAAAGCTAAAGATCTACAGAAAAATGGTAAGGTCATCGTTAATTATCAGTACTATTATCGTTCATACTGTTGGTGTTGACAGAGTGATTCATTCTATTTTATGTTTCATTCCCTACATCATGACTGAAGATGTTTTTTATACTGTAAACAGAAAATGTAAGAGATATTGAAGATTTGCAGTAAAGTGATTGGAGTGGAAAGTTTTTACTTAAAAGTTTCAGCTTAAAAAGAAATCCTAACTTGATATAATAATTACGTTTTGAGACAATACGGGTTGTTGTGACATTACGATAAGTTGCCTTCCAGACACCTTTCTCAAACAAGATGCTGACAGGAAAGCCTTTGAAAAGTTTGAGGCGCAGACAGCTAAACCTACAGCTCATACAGCCAAGCCAAAGGAGGGTGTTACAAGTGAAAGATTTGAATGTAAGTGTCATGGTGGTTAACAAAATCCTTTTTTGTTAAAGGGTCAATATTGTAAATGATAACAATATTTGTACAAAATAAAAACTTACAATAAACACATGCTAACGCAAATATTAGAAATTCCGATTCTATGAGAAATATGTATGATCTTTTTCTTGTTATTAAGTTTAACTTTTGAATAGAGTTAAAACTCATTATCTTGAAATTCAAGGGACTGGAAAATATTTTGAGTTATTTGAATTTCGACTCCAACAAAGTGTCCAAATAAGGTTGACAATATCAGTTTTCTGATGTTGATTACAAAGAAGGGGTATGATAGCACAATGCACTAAGGTACAAACAGCGTGATTTAATCTGTTAAATGTAATGTCAGTAAATAAACAGAAACAAATAAATCTCTACTTTCTCCTTTTATAGCTTATTCATCCAAACAACAAAACATGTAATAACAGCATCAAAGAAATACATTTGAATTCATGTCATTCCGTCCCACACACATGTACACTACCCTTAACTGACCAAGCACATATAGATAGTATATTAATATATGTATGTTAAGATTAGTTTTTCTCGGAATTGTGGGGATCAGATTTCATAAAAAAATTTTTTGCTGGTTTGACAGTTTTGTTTTTATCACTCCTGAAGATACACGCAACAAGGCTAAATGTTTTCATATCAGGTAAACACACTGCATATTTAATGTACAGGTATGTCACTGCTACATATTGGGATGCCAACTTTTAATTTGATAATTAAACTGGTTATTAATTGCCAGAGACCACCTGTTGTATGTATTGACAAATTTTGTTAGAAGATGTGTCAATGTTTTGACAACAATTAATTTTTTTACTTTTCCCTTGCTTAAGTGACATTAAAGGGACTGAAAAATCACTTTGACTCAAACAAAATTTCAACTCAATGAAATGCGAGACATCTCAACTAAAATTACAAAGATAGAGAAGGTAAAAGAATTGGGACTTGGAAATTATTTTGACTCAAATGGAATTAAACTTAAACGATTTGGAGATGAGTTTTCAACTGTAATGATATACTCCAACTAAAATTTTGAATGTCAGTCTATTTAATGCTACAATGCATATAGAATGTATGACAATATAAGATGACTGACGTTTTCATTTATTTGTAAAATCAGTGTGAGGAACTGGGATCCTAAAGTGTTTTTGGGGAGATGTACTTATAATGGTTGATAAGGTATCCGGATAAATCATTCTATATTCAATGAGATTTGTAACATTGTAGAAGATGGAGCATCAACATTTGACTTCTGGAATCCAGGTGTTCCAGCTTCCATGTCATTTGACTTCTGGAATCCAGGTGTTCCAGCTTCCATGTCATTTGTATTTGATGGAGCTCTGTTGGATATAGTAGGATATCCATCTTCTATTCCTGCAAGATCCAACTTACAATCAAAGACAATGGTTCTTTCCCAATCCATAAGGAGTTTTATTTATACCATTGAGATTTCTGTATCATTTCCTTGTAACAAGCCCACCTCCCAACTTTGAGTATGGGGTTACGTGGTGGTCCTCTCTAGAATATTTCTGTTTTTTTTTTTTTTCAAATTGTCATTAATGAGCTTCTGAAAATCTATTCATAAAAAAGGGATAACTGCAGCAAAGTAGGTGTGTTGCCTGTGTATATTCAACATCCTTGTGAGCTGTTTGAAATCAGATAAATGGAACTATATAATGATCAACATTGCAGCACAATGTTAACACAATTACTAATGAGTTCTACTGATTGTCAGCTGTAGGAGAACAACAGATTCGTGAGACTGGCACTAACCCTGCTCCCTGGACTGCTGAGGAGCAGAAACTCCTGGAGCAGTCTCTTAAAACGTTCCCTGCCAACACGCCTGAGAGGTGGGAAAAGATAGCCGCAGTGCTCCCTGCACGCAGCAAGAAAGATTGTATGAAGAGATACAAGGTAAGACTAAACAAATGAATCAGACATTTTAGAATCTTCATTCTCATTTTAGTATCTTTCTCATTTTAGAATCTTCATTCTCATTTTAGAATCTTCATTTTCATTTTAGTATCTTCATTCTCATTTTAGTATCTTCATTCTCATTTTAGTATCTTTATTCTCCATTCTCATTTAAGTATCTTCATTCTCATTTTAGTATCATCATTCTCATTTTAGTATCTTCATTCTCATTTTAGTATCTTCATTCTCATTTTAGTATCATCATTCTCATTTTAGTATCTTCATTCTCATTTTAGTATCTTCATTCTCATTTTAGAATCATCATTCTCATTTTAGTATCATCATTCTCATTTTAGTATTATCATTCTCATTTTAGTATCATTCATTCTCATTTTAGTATCATCATTCTCATTTTAGAATCTTCATTCTCATTTTAGTATCTTCATTCTCATTTTAGTATCATCATTCACATTTTAGTATCTTCATTCTCATTTTAGTATCTTCATTCTCATTTTAGAATCTTCATTCTCATTTTAGAATCTTCATTCTCATTTTAGTATTATCATTCTCATTTTAGTATCATCATTCTCATTTCAGTATCATCATTCTCATTTCAGTATCATCATTCTCATTTTAGTATCATCATTCTCATTTTAGTATCTTCATTCTCATTTCAGTATCATCATTCTCATTTTAGTATCATCATTCTCATTTTAGAATCTTCATTCTCATTTTAGTAATCTTCATTCTCATTTTAGTATCATCATTCTCATTTTAGTATCATCATTCTCATTTCAGTATCATCATTCTCATTTTAGTATTATCATTCTCATTTCAGTATCTTAATATTCAGTGTTGTTGAAGATATCTCAGTGATTTAATGAAAAAAAGGTTTGGCAGTGCATTAAAAATAGAACAATAAATTTTCATCTATTGACATGTAAACATATATATCGTAATTTAGTCAGGACTGGTCAGATTGTATGTTGTTTATTTATTGGTTGGCTTGGACCAGGCATGTTATATATAGTTTAACCATTGTCTGGCTAGGACTGGTCATTTTGTGTGTAGTTTAGTCATCGTCTGGCTAGGACTGGGTGTTTTTGGTATGTAGTTTAGTCATCGTCTGGCTAGGACTGGTCGGTTTGTGTGTAGTTTAGTCATCGTCTGGCTAGGACTGGCATTGTCTGACTAGGACTGGTTGGTTTGTGTGTAGTTTAGTCATTGTCTGACTTGGACTGGTCGTTTTGTGTGTAGTTTAGTCATTGTCTGACTAGGACTGGTCGTTTTGTGTGCAGTTTAGTCATTGTCTGGCTAGGACTGGTCGTTTTGTGTGTAGTATAGTCATTGTCTGACTAGGACTGGTCGTTTTGTATGTAGTTTAGTCATCGTCGTCTGGCTAGTTTAGTCATCGTCTGGCTGGTACTGGTCATTTTGTGTGTAGTTTAGTCATCGTCTGGCTAGGACTGGTCGGTTTGTGTGTAGTTTAGTCATCGTCTGGCTAGGACTGGTCGGTTTGTGTGTAGTTTAGTCATCGTCTGACTAGGACTGGTCGGTTTGTGTGTAGTTTAGTCATCGTCTGACTAGGCCTGGGTGTTTTTGGTATGTAGTTTAGTCATTGTCTGGCTAGGACTGGTCATTTTGTGTGTAGTTTAGTCATCGTCTGGCTAGGACAGGGTGTGTTTGGTATGTAGTTTAGTCATCGTCTGGCTAGGACTGGGTGTTTTGTGTGTAGTTTAGTCATCGTCTGGCTAGGACTGGTCGGTTTGTGTGTAGTTTAGTCATCGTCTGGCTAGGACTGGTCGGTTTGTGTGTAGTTTAGTCATCGTCTGGCTAGGACTGGTCGGTTTGTGTGTAGTTTAGTCATTGTCTGGCTATGACTGGTCGTTTTTGGTATGTAGTTTAGTCATCGTCTGGCTAGGACTGGTCTGTTTGTGTGTAGTTTAGTCATTGTCTGACTAGGACTGGTCGGTTTGTGTGTAGTTTAGTCATTGTCTGACTAGGACTGGTCATTTTGTGTGTAGTTTAGTCATTGTCTGACTAGGACTGGTCGTTTTTGGTATGTAGTTTAGTCATCGTCTGGCTGGGACTGGTCGGTTGTGTGTAGTTTAGTCATTGTCTAACTAGGACTGTTCGGTTTGTGTGTAGTTTAGTCATTGTCTGGCTAGGACTGGTTGGTTTGTATGTAGTTTAGTCATCGTCTGGCTAGGACTGTTCGGTTTGTGTGTAGTTTAGTCATTGTCTGGCTAGGACTGGTCATTGTCTGGCTAGGACTGGTCGTTTTGTGTGTAGTTTAGTCATTGTCTGACTAGGACTGGTCGGTTTGTGTGTAGTTTAGTCATTGTCTGGCTAGGACTGGTCATTTTGTGTGTAGTTTAGTCATTGTCTGACTAGGACTGGTCGTTTTTGGTATGTAGTTTAGTCATCGTCTGGCTAGGACTGGTCGGTTTGTGTGTAGTTTAGTCATTGTCTAACTAGGACTGGGTGTTTTTGGTATGTAGTTTAGTCATCGTCTGACTAGGACTGGTCGGTTTGTGTGTAGTTTAGTCATCGTCTGGCTAGGACTGGTCGGTTTGTGTGTAGTTTAGTCATCTTTAGTTTAGTCATCGTCTGGCTAGGACTGGTCGGTTTGTGTGTAGTTTAGTCATCGTCTGGCTAGGACTGGTCGGTTTGTGTGTAGTTTAGTCATCGTCTGGCTAGGACTGGTCATTTTGTGTGTAGTTTAGTCATCGTCTGGCTAGGACTGGTCGGTTTGTGTGTAGTTTAGTCATCGTCTGACTAGGACTGGTCGGTTTGTGTGTAGTTTAGTCATCGTCTGGCTAGGACTGGTCGGTTTGTGTGTAGTTTAGTCATCGTCTGGCTAGGACTGGGTGTTTTTGGTATGTAGTTTAGTCATCGTCTGGCTAGGACTGGGTGTTTTTGGTATGTAGTTAAGTCATCGTCTGGCTAGGACTGGTCATTTGTAGCATGGTATGTGGTTTGGTCAGATAATGGATGTGGTTCTCATAGAACCAAGAATCAGTTTTCCTTGAACTAAAAATATGTATTTAAAAAAGCTTGAAATTGTAACATTATTACCTAACAGAGAATTGATTGATTAGAATTTATATTGCAGGAACTTGTTGAACTGATCAGAGCCAAGAAAGCTGCTACAGAAGCTGCTGCTAAGAAGAAATGATCTTGACTTGATCTAGTTTCTTTTGATCCACCATTCCCTGTTAGCTGAGAAGAGCAGGTGTCGGTGCCATAGAGTATCATAGTACCTTGTCATATCATATCATGGCCTTCTGAAAACATTTGTATCAAATTTCTACAGCTGATGTCAAGTCATTGTTTCATGTGTTGTGTACTATGCATATGTTTCGATGGATGGATGGACACATCAAAAGAATGGATTAATTCTCTCTGTGAGAGAAAGGTTTACAGTTGTAGGCTTAAGGTGAGGAGATAGACTAACTTATCATCTTTTCACAAATGCCATGGTTAAGTTATACTTTACGACAGCAACTTTTCAGGTTCCTGTTTGTTAACAGTACCAAATGAGATCTGTCAGAGATGTAGTACCATAACAACTGTGTATACAAGTGACAGCAGAATACAAGGAATTTATAAAATAAAATTATCATGATTTTAATTTTCATTTCTTATTCATATTAACAGAACATTAATAGACATTGTTTTATCATACTTAGTTTCGTTAACATTTTCACTGTCTATGTTGGGTGATCCTTCAATATTACCAGACTTTACCATATAAGGTCTCCGGTTAATAGAACAACAGTTGTCAACTAGAATTATTGGTCCTGGTGCCATTTTAGACAAATTTCACATGGTATGTTGTGAGTCACAATCATTGGTTGTATGTGTAACATTAACCCATCCCACCCAGTCTTCTCAAAAATGTCCGAGCTAGAATTTGTAACTGAAAGTCACTGTATTTAAACTCATTTCTGAAGTAATTTTGTTTGCTAAACCAAAAATGATTCAGTAACGGTAAATATTTGTGCTGAATTTACACATACATTGTAAAACTCATCAAAATTGCATGGTAGGATGATGCATTATAAAAAAGTAATTGTGATTTATGCAACAGCTATCACATGTTATGTCAATCATGTTTGGATATTTTCTATGCCAAAGTGCTGAGAGTTTTCCAAAATAAAAGTATTGGAAAGACTCCTGTGTTTATTGTTGTTTCTGTTGTATATACACTTTAAAGGTGGTGTGATAATCTGTCTTTTCAGGTATAATGTTGTAAGGAACAAAAAGTAAAACATAAAAACATAGGCATATGATGGCTATCACCCACATAAAAGTGGATGCTAGGCATCATACGATCTGTATTTGGGATGTTGTATCACAGATTTAGTCTTGCCATCCTGTTTAGTCTGTTGTCTCCGCTGTGAGTAAACTTTCTATTCAAATGTCTTGTCTCAATAACTGTTAAGTTGCGTGGGCCCCTTGTCATATTTTGTGACTGTAACTGATGTCTTCAAGGCTTTGGCTTTGATGTGTGTGGTGTATAGAAAATAGTTCCAACTTGTCATTTAAAACATGAGATCTTGTAACATTTTTGCGGTTTTTTTTTTATCTATTTACTTTTTGGAAGAATTACAACATCAGCTACTTCATCAACTAATTTCCAAACACATTTTAATCCTTTCGGCAAAGATATTTGTAAGTTGTTGGGTCGTTCATCATTTGATCTATATTTGTTCTATAAAAGTTTGATCTTTTCTCTTCTTTTAATTCCTCTATATTTGCTTTTGATCATATGAAATTTAAAAAATAGTAATACATGAACTAATCTGCCGACCAAGGTGGTCGCGTGTCAGCCAGTTTTGTTTTTCTAATCATTGCTGAAATTTGAGATAAAAAGGTGGAGCACAAATAAGGACCAAGAGAAATCTACATATGAAATTTGAGAAAGATCTCTCCAGCACTTTCATTGTCAAATCCAAGATGGCCACCTGGCTTTTTTTTCTTTCTTTTTTTTTAATCAGTCTCACAATCAAAACTGGCACAACTTAGGACCCAAGGGAACCTACAAATGAAATTTGAGAGAGAACCCATCCAGTACTTTTTGAGAAAAGCTATTAAAAATTCAAGATGGCTCGGTTTTGTTTTTCTAATCAATCCCAAATGGAGAATCTACTGATGAAACTGGAGAATGATCCTTCAACTATTTATTTAGACAGAGTGATAACAATCTGTCAAAATCCTAGATCTATTGGCCATGTTTTTCACAATACTAAGATGATGGAGTCCTTGATACATCAAAGATATTCAGCTGGATCATTTTTGGCTTCCTTAGGCAACTTGAGTTTTGACATTTAAGATACAGGTATTTATCGAGACATGCTAATTTCTATTCTTTAGTGTACAAGATATTCAAGGTAATTGCCAAATACAATTTTTGATTTTGACATTAGAAGCTTTTTCTATCTGGATTGCTGAACAGACCTAGAAATTTCCTGCTAATAAGATATGTAGGTGCTAGTCTAGCACATCACATTTTTGAAATTTATCTACAATTCAAGATGGCCTCCCCATCAGCCCGATTAAGTTTTTAAATACTACTTTTTCTCCAGAACTAATCGTCATGAAACTCTTGAGTTATTTATGTACCAAATACTACTTGAATCTGATCAGTGTTTGAATAAGGCCACTGGTGACTATTTTCTTGTTTGATGTTGAAAGATTTTTGAAGAGTTTTTCAAAGGATTTGTCACCACTTTCTCCTGACGGATGGAAATTAGATTAAGAGTATGATCAATTTTCAAAGTTCAAGGTCATTAAGTTCACATTTAACATCTTTTCAACAAAATAATGTCTTTTTAGAGTAGCATATGACCTCAGCTTTCCACTGATGTTTGTTTGATACCAGTGGCCTGGATGTAAATTCTACATTCATTTCAGTAAAACATTTTGATTTTAGCCAATTCTACGTCTGAAAGATAGATCACAGATTAAGACAAGTGCTTCTTTTGCTGTTTGTTAAAGTGACCTCAGATGGTGGGCAATAAGATCTATATGGCATTTCCATTTGGTGTCAAAATGACAACATAACTATGGAGGATGAAAAGAGTAGAAAATATTTCCAATCATAGAAACATTAAAACAAACTCAAAAAATACATTCTGAAATGTTTTATTCCAAGATGGAATGACACAGGGACGAAACAAAACAAAATTGGCACTTGCACCATAATTTATGACTACATATATATGTTATCTCTCTATGTTACAACTGTGGTGTAATGACAATCACACAGAATCGTGGATATTTTTCTGCTGCCTCAATACATGGATTCATTTGGTCTGAGATGCCAACACACACTAACATTCAGGATTCCTTACCTGTAGGCAACATCTCCAATAATAATGAACACATCTACACACCATATCCAACCTAGTAAGTGCATTTGTCCTATTAAATGTACTATCTGCCCTATTAAATGCACTACCATCTTTTTCTGCAAAAGACTTGTGTACTTCATTTCAGTATCCCTGCTCCCATATGCCCACTCCTTTAAGAAACATGGCCGAAATGTTCCATTTTTACTTCTAATTCAAACAGTCTCTCAACACATTCTCACTGAAACTTTCCCCTGTAGTTTATGAAGGGCGCCCTGTAGGAAATTTGGTAATCACACAGTGCACTTATTAGATTGAAAATGATATACTTTAAATCCTTTCTAAACAAGATAATATTCCTAATATAACATGGAAGTATTAAGTCTTTGCTCTCTACCACTGTTAACACAGTACAATGTGGACTATTTTTAGACTTCAGTCCATGTTGCCTAGTGAACAATTTAATTACGGATTAGTTTAAAGGTAAATAAACTTCGAAATAAATTAAGGATACAGACAGAATTTTCAATTTTTGTAATTAAGATGTTTCCTTGTTTGATTAAAAAAACAAAGATACAAAGAATTTAACTTGAAATCTCTTCCATTTCACATAAAATTCTAGATTTTCAGGGCAAACGATGCTGATCAAGGAAAATAATTTGTGTTATTTTAAAGTTTCTGATATACATTTCAATCCATACAGTATCAACCGATTGATGAAAACTACATTGAATTACATCCATATGTGATGAATTTCTCATTGGCTTTACAGAGATTTGAAACAAAGGAACATGTTCAACTTAGATACTACTCAAAACAAGAAGCCCAAGAGCCTTAACAGTCACCTGAGTCACAATGCTTCTTGTAACATGTCATAGAAATGATTTTGTTACAAGGAGTAATATAACTTTATATGGTACACAATATGAAAATTGTGTATACATTAACTGCTGTCCCATGCTAGGGCTTCTAAAAGTTAAAAAGAAATTACACTCAAGACTTGGAATTTTCCAACCATGAAGAGTATTTGATTCTACCCTATCTGCAATCTGAGAAGATTTTTGAAGTTCAATCATTTTGACCTTTTTTGGCCCCTTCCCTTTGGCCCCTCGGTATTGCGGACCATATAATTTATAATTTTGGTGCACCTTTTGCCATGGAAGGTTTCCTTCAAGTTTCATTGAAATCGGTTCTGGAGTTTTCCAAAAGTTCAAAAGTTTATGACGTACAACACTGGACAAAAGGAGATCGCAATAAACATTACTTGAAGCACAATATTGAATTTCCAAAAAAAAAAAAAAAAAAAAATCCTATTTTCTGTTAACTTATTACCAACTACAACCTTTATCAGACACATCCAGATTAAGACAGAAATTATGTATTGGGTGAAAGATTCCTTTCCTACAACTAAACAAGAGTGATGTCTGCCACAGTGTATTGTGTTTGTTTGTGTAGTGAATGTACTGTGGTGCATGTAACCCTGGTATGGGAGAGACTGTTAACGCAGGAGGGGTGGGGGGGTGGGGTTGGGATTCTCAACATGGTAGCACCTGCTTCACATATATGGACTATTCAAACTCATACAAGTGTTTCATATTATGTGTGAGAAATGATATAGAACAAACACAATATTATGACCTACTTTTAGCGACATTTCATAGACTTACATCTACTCACATATATGTATATATTATAAACAATGTACACACAAAAAATCAACAAATTTTACATTCATTTATAAAGGATATACATGAAAAATAATTATTGTAATTTGATTACTGGTAAGGAGAGAAGATCATGACAATTTGTCCTATGAAATCCTTGATAGTTTGATGACAGACAGTACTGTAACAGCCATTCATATAACAGTATAATGCAAAGTGCCTGCTTCCAGATTTTTCATTTTGTAACAAGATAATTTTCAATCGTGATTAAAACAGAAATGTTTTCACAAATTTAAGCAAAATGGTGAATGAATATGAAATTGAAATATGATGTCATTTGACCTTCAGTATGGTATATAACATTTTGAAACATTTTGCTTTAAAATGTCATACATGATTAGATGGTGAAGACATAAATTATGACCTCTATGACCTTTATCTTGGGTAAAACTACTTGTTTGATTTTGACCTGATTATAATATGTATACAGGCTGTATAGCCCTGACAACATGAAATCTGTAATTTATCCTAAAGAGATCTTTAACATCTTATTTTCACCACAATACACATATACAGGTGGAAAGTCACCATATCATTATACATCCTACCAAATGACAGTACGGTTAATTGACTACAACAGGTCTTACTAAGAAACACATTTAACTCATTAAATTAGTGGGTATTCTATAACAACAAAGCAAAAATCACATGAAATATTCATATATATTGAAAAAAAAAAAGATGTTTTTAAAAAAGATCTTTATAAAAATTCTATTAATTTACATTGTTTTAAGCAAATTAAAAGTTAAAGGTTAATCAATGAACTTCAACATCAGGATGAGAAAGCTTACAAATCAACAATACCTTATTCCACTGAGGAACTGATAGTGACCCGATCGTAACATTGGATACTGAACCTATGTTCCACTGAGGAACCGATAGTGACCCGATCGTAACATTGGATACTGAACCTTCGTTCCACTGAGGAACTGATAGTGACCCGATCGTAACATTGGATACTGAACCTATGTTCCACTGAGGAACTGATAGTGACCCGATCGTAACATTGGATACTGAACCTTCGTTCCACTGAGGAACTGATAGTGACCCGATCGTAACATTGGATACTGAACCTTCGTTCCACTGAGGAACTGATAGTGACCCGATCGTAACATTGGATACTGAACCTTTGTTCCACTGAGGAACTGATAGTGACCCGATCGTAACATTGGATACTGAACCTTCGTTCCACTGAGGAACTGATAGTGACCCGAATCGTAACATGATAGTGACCCGATCGTACCTTCGTTCCACTGAGGAACTGATAGTGACCCGATCGTAACACTGGATACTGAACCTTCGTTCCACTGAGGAACTGATAGTGACCCGATCGTAACATTGGATACTGAACCTTCGTTCCACTGAGGAACTGATAGTGACCTGATCGTAACATTGGATACTGAACCTATGTTCCACTGAGGAACCGATAGTGACCCGATCGTAACATTGGATACTGAACCTTTGTTCCACTGAGGAACTGATAGTGACCCAATCGTAACATTGGATACTGAACCTTCGTTCCATTGAGGAACTAATAGTGACCTGATCGTAACACTGGATACTGAACCTTTGTTCCACTGAGGAACTAATAGTGACCCGATCGTAACATTGGATACTGAACCTTTGTTCCACTGAGGAACTGATAGTGACCCGATCGTAACATTGTATACTGAACCTTTGTTCCACTGAGGAACTGATAGTGACCCGATCGTAACATTGGATACTGAACCTTCGTTCCACTGAGGAACTGAAAGTGACCCGATCGTAACATTGGATACTGAACCTATGTTCCACTGAGGAACTGATAGTGACCCGATCGTAACATTGGATACTGAACCTATGTTCCACTGAGGAACTGATAGTGACCCGATCGTAACATTGGATACTGAACCTTCGTTCCACTGAGGAACTGATAGTGACCCGATCGTAACATTGTATACTGAACCTTTGTTCCACTGAGGAACTGAAAGTGACCCGATCGTAACATTGGATACTGAACCTTCAAATCAATAATCCTTTGTTCCAATTAGGAATCGATGAACCAATACATAGCATTGGATACCGATTCTTGTAAAATATCCTTAAGTGGATCAAGCTCTTAAAATTCTAAGGATCTTTCACTTTTAAAACCTGTCCTTGGTTTCTCATAGAACAAAGTAATCACAATTTCATCATTCTATAGGAATGCATATAAACCTGCAAAAATTACATGTATAAAGTCAAAAGTGCTGAAACATAGTTATGTACTTAACATATCACACATATAGCAAGAAAGGCCAATAACTTTTGGTGTTTTGATGGCAAAGTATTTACAAAGAATTCAAGTTACAGCTGTACATCACATTAATCCTAATAAACATGTTTGCCAATAAACTGCTGGGGGAAATAACAAAAAAAAAAAAAAAGAAAAAAGAAAAAGAAACTTTCATTTAACACTAGAAATATAGTGCAAAGACATATTCTGTAGTAAATATTTTTGAGTCTTAACTGAAATTTTGTTTAAAATTTGACATGATTCTTAATGAAAGTATCAGTTTATGGCTAACCCGCATGAGGAGGCACTCTCCTAAAACTATTTACCTCTAATGAGGTCATGTTTCCATCCAATTCTAACTTCAACACAGGAGCTGCATTTTCACAGACTTTTCCTTAAGTGTAGAAATAAAATAAAAAATCAAGAATATCCATTGCACTATACACACAGACAATGTACTACTATTAAATATACATATTTGATTATAGCACTTTTGATATTCTTCAGCCCTCTTTCAATACAATTAATGTATTCACCAATTCATCCACTTGGTTGATATACTGATAACGATGCCATACACATGTTGCACCAAAGTGATTAGTCCAAAAGCAGTTGTACTGCTTACAATACTCTTCAAGATCCACAATCTTATCATTCATTTAAACTTGAGATTATGCTAACTGTAATAAAGACTACATTCAATTAAACAAGTAGAAATCAATTATCACCAATTTTATAATTTATTTCTCCCATGAATGAAAATTAAACAAATTAAATTAACAAGTCATGCATGATGATTCCACTCTGTGAAATATAAAAATACACCATGGACTTGAAGGGATGAAACTGATAGCACTTAACAAAGTTCCTGTTTATAGTCTAAATAATGAATGAACAATTCACATATTCAGTTTTACCTCTAACATATCTATCAATCTACACTAGTGTCCTCCTTTTCCAAACTCTTAACTATTCTGTATATACAAATCATAACTACAATTTCCCAGAATTGAAATACAGCTCTACCATTCCAAATTTCACACCTCTATAACAATTTCCCTCATATATGGAAGGTGTTAACATTTTTACTGAATAAATATTCAGTTCACATGCACGAACATGTACATGTATTTTCACCATTCTCATATATATATATATCTATATAAAACAGCCTATAAATTAACAAAACAAAACAATGAAAAAAATCTTGGCACGCTTTGAACAGATCTACTCATTTATAACATTTTCAACTCACAACAATACCTATATCAGCTCTGGGTATCAGCATTATATAAAGCGTATCCAGCACACCAGTTCACAGAATTGATCAAATATGTATTACAACTCAATCTTACATCAAAATCACATTCAATTAGAATATAAATGATTCACATGATTTAAAACCTATTTACATCACAAAACCTTAGCATCTAGTATCTTAATATTTTGATACATCCTAAACTTGATATTGACTGAAAAATTATGCAATTACAAGCTTTCAGAATTTACATTTTCTTAAAATTTGAAAATGGTTGGGAAATCATTTACTGAAATCTGAATAATTTATATACATGGTATCTTTGTTTCGCATTAAATATAAAAATCAAAGTCAGTGCTACAAAATCCTAATTGCAACATTGGACCATACTTCATTTCACTTTCATTTCATTTAACTGAGTAATGGTTCAACTACAATTACACATGTAGGTAAGACTTGGCAAATCTCAGTCCACTGCAAAGAGTTTGATAGCACTCACAAAATCCTCTTGGAGTAATTTAAATTTACTTTAAATCTTTGACTTACAAATAGATTCACTTTTATTCCTAACACATTCTAATTCTCAACCTATATAACTAGGACACAAAATTCAGGCAATCGACATACACCGGATATTTCATGCATTTTTGAGTAAATCATGTTTTTCAAACAGGTTTATTCTTAATACATGACAGCTCATTATGATATATGATAAAAAACATTAAGATGAGATCTTCTGAAATGCTGTCAAACAAAATGTTTGTATAATGTATTCTGTTCAACGATTTTAAACACAAAAAAGAAAAATTCATTGGTAAACAAGCTAAATAGTGATACAAGATAACGAAGATTTAATTCACAAAGGAAATTTCTTGTAGGAAAAAAGTAAAACTGAGTAAGAACAAATCATGAACACAGATAATGAACGTTCATGAAACTTAAGTCAGAACTTGACTTAAAAAGTATTTGTTTTGCTGCTCCGTAACATGCATCCACAATTGTTTTGCACAACACATACCTGAATATTTACAGAATCACTGAAATAAATCTATCATATAAAACACACTTCAGACAAAAGAAACAAAATTTGATAGAAAAGGATGAAAATCCTAGACAAAATAAGAACATATATTCGATGATTTCATTTTATCAATTGTCCTTAATGCTGAAAACTTGCAACATCCAATTAACAGTATTATATTGCACATACTATGGCAAGCACATGGTATGCATGACCTACAGACCAATATCTATTCACCACACAAGGTAAACAAAAGTACTGGAAATTGTACCTAATGTACTTGTTACATTCTGCTAACAAAATTTTCTCAATGAAGAAAAGCAAGACAGATCATGTAGATGCCAGACACAGTTATGCAAAGTTTCATGAAAATCTGAGAAGACATCAATTCAGCCAGTTCAGGCTGCTTTCATGATGTTTCTTTAATCAGTAATAATGACCTACTTTTGCAGCACATGACCTTTATATTTAGCAAGAATCATTAGTAAACATTGATGTTCTTTACCTTAGCTTCAGGCAAGATATTAAATGTAAAATTTCTAAAAATAAGCTATCATAGTGACCATGTTCCATTTAAAAACTAGAAGGAATGAAAGACTGGATACAGTTTCATTTAAATCTACTCAGAGTTTTCTTGTTGATTACAGGTGAGATTTTTATGTTAAGACTTTGAAGACCGTGACAGTGGGATATATTTCAAGCCTTGAAATCTAATTCAGCTGAAGAACTTTACAGAGAGCAACCACCAATCATTGGTGTATATTTCACCTGGAATGCTGCAGACAAGATGTTGATGGAAAAATGAGTACTGAGACAGGATGAAACCTTATATCTGGTAGGTATATATATATTGGTGATCGGAACATAACAGTTTGCTTCTAAAAATCCCCACTAGTACTATTTCTTAATTCACCAGTATTTATGTTACACATGTTCATACATCAATAGATAGAAATTTGTTCTGTAACAAGAATTCCTGATTATAGTATTCACAAAAATAAAATCCAAAGATCTGATTCATGAAATGGAACATCCTCACAAATTGCTTGGTTACCATAGCAATTCAAATTGTCTAATGTTTTATATAGAACTTACGTTCATAACTTTAACCCCATGTTATAATTGCAATTTACATATTGAAACATTCAAACAGTACATAAGTTTTGTCTTTACATAAATCAATATTTAAAACATTTTGTTTGTAAATTATATATTCAATTGCTTAAAGAGATGAATAAATTGAGTTGGCTTCAATAACTCCATCAGTAGAGCATTGTGCTTACATAACCTCAGGTGTAAATCCCAGGTGCATGGTTTGTCACTCCTTACCTATGGTTGTTTGTTCCTCAGAAAGCTGAGAAATGGACTTGCCTATCCAACACCACATCACCCTACTTGCTCTAGATGGCATGCAATGGGTCTCTCCTATGTTGTCCAGTGAAACTACAAAGAGACCCTGCCTCAAAATGACTGTAAGTGTATCACCCAACTCACAAACAAACCAACTCTATGATACCATACTGAAGTGATTATGGGTGGTTCATAAAAATGTTTGTAAAATCTGCCACATATATACTACCACCACTCTCCGCTAGGCTTGGTGTACTACTGACAATTACTCAAACCTCTATTGAGCAATTGATAATAATCTTGTTTCATTTCCCTGATATATATACACACTGCTACTTATAACTAAACAAAATCTCATTCTAGTGGGACTGAAAATTAGGATTTCTAGCTCCTGCTAAATATTCTTTTAATATACAGCATATATCACCAATCACTTGAGTCACAGGAGATGTCTCATTTAGAGTATATGATTAATGACACAGGCTACACTGTAGAGCTGTCTCATTTAGAGTATGCAATGATGCCTCAACAGTCTGTGATTCACAATTCCTTACTATAAAAAGCTATTCGTGTAGATCAAAGACTAGGAGTACACTTATGATCCAGCATTCCTATGAGAAGAGATAAATGAACATGAGCAGAATCTGGACATCATATGACACAAAATAATCTCAAACTTGATTGAACACTCTTAAGTCATCCCTGCATGTTAGTGACCTCAGGAAATCAAAGTTGCAAGCTACTTTACACTTGATTTTGGCATACTGGTAAAAAATATAAAATATATTTCATAGTCCCTTTGAAACAGTAATCATATTTCGTTGTGAGTGACCATCTAAGTACACATCACATAAAATAATCAAAATGTTAATTAGCATGCCTTGAGCCAGTCATGTCAATGAAAATCAGCCGAATATCCAACGAGAGATCACTTAGCATACTGGTCATAGAAAGCAATCTTGACTTTTTCAATCTGATGGCAAAGTTTAATGGCAGGTCCTAGTTTGAGCTCCAAATGTTCCTGTACTGTTGGAAGAGTCAGTAGCAGCAGTGCTTGGCCATCAATCTCCTGTATATGTGAAAATTGTCAGTTAATAACAAAATTATACATTAACAGATGACAGGTAAAACATCACACACAATTACAAGGTGACAGGTAAAACATCACACACAATTACAAGGTGACAGGTAAAACATCACTCACAATTACAAGGTGACAGGTAAAACATCACACACAATTACAAGGTGACAGGTAAAACATCACACACAATTACAAGGTGACAGGTAAAACATCACACACAATTACAAGGTGACAGGTAAAACATCACACACAATTACAAGGTGACAGGTAAAGTATCACACACAATAACAAGGTGACAGGTAAAGTATCAAACACAATAACAAGATGACAGGTAAAATATCACACACAATTACAAGGTGACAGGTAAAACATCACACACAATTACAAGGTGACAGGTAAAACATCACACACAATAACAAGGTGACAGGTAAAACATCACACACAATTACAAGGTGACAGGTTAAACATCACATATAATAACAAGGTGACAGGTGAAACATCACACACAATTACAAGGTGACAGGTAAAACATCACATATAATAACAAGGTGACAGGTAAAACATCACAATTACAAGGTGACAGGTAAAACATTGCACACAACTTGGACAGTGTCAAACCAGCAACGGCTCTGCTACGTGGCAGGAAATCCCCCCTCCACCAACCACCCTTAGATGCACACATCCCAGATGGAAAAGTATGATTTTTGGATTTTTTGGCAAAAGAAAACTTGATTTATCGCCGTGAAACTGATTTTCCTATTTATGGTGTAAGTGACCAAGACTTTTGACCTTCAAAGCTGAAAAGCAATCCGGAAGCACCGTATGATGTTTGACTATGATTGGCCAAAGCAATTTTGAGTTTTCATAGGGAAACTGATTTTTCTATTTATAGTAACAGTGGACTTCAGAACTGTAAAGCAATAAGAGTAAGAAAGTATTGTATGAAATTTGGGTTAGATTAGCAAAAGCAAACTTCTATTTTTCACACAGAAATCTGATTTTCTATATACTAAAAGTGACTTTGACCTTTGAAGCTAAAAAGCAATCCCAAGCAAGCACTTTCAATAAGGAAGCACAGTATAAAGTTTGAGCTGGATCGGCCGAACGAAACCCAATTAATTGCAAGGAAATTGAAAAAAAAAAACAACATGAAATTAAATGATTTTCTATTTATAGCAAGTGACCTTTACCTCTGACCTCTGGACATGTTAAGCTAAATCAAGCCAGCATTTCTTTTGAAGTAACACTGGATAAAGTTTTCTATTTCCCTGAATAGCAACAGTGACCTTGACCTTTAACCTTGGAAGATGAAAAGCTACATACCCCATGCAAGCACTTTCTTCAAGGAGGATTTGCATTAAGTATGAGTGCCATTGGTATTTCAGATACTGTACAGGAACCAAAAAACTGACAGACGGACAAGCTGATTACTATAGGGCACCCGCATCTCGATACATGATGACAGAATTACATGAATTCATACCCGGAATCTAAAACAAATATACCTGATCTTTGAAAAGTCGACATAGATGAGCACAGTCGGTGGTTTTGATGAATCGAACCACTTCTGACACAGACCAATTCAGTGGGTTAGACTCTAAATGTAGGACTTCCTTAGGCTCCTTCTTTTCCTCCTTAACCACTTTGCTGTGGGAATGTATCAACTGATTGAGGAAAAAGAACAAGTTTTAACAATGACCATGTCTAAAAGAAATTTGTGGAATTAATACCAACAAGAGCAGTTTTAAGTTTTTCGTTCACAGCAACATTTTATGTATCTCTTTCAGACTAGAATGATCTCTAAATGCAATTTTTGATTGTAGTAATCATGTCATAAAAAGGATGATTTACCTTTGAGCCTTGGCCCTTTCCATGATTAAGGGATTTCACTGGTGATGACCCAGGAGTGATGAGAATCTTCTTATGAGTCCTTCGCTCAAAACTGTATTTTGGCATTTTAGCACCTCTGGTTTTAATCTCTGATGGCGGGGGAAGATGATGAGTATATTTCCTTTTGTTATTGTACTTTCCTGATTTGCGTTTGATTATTTTCTCAGTAGAGTCATTTGTACCACTGCTGTCTACAGTATGTGTATCACTAGCTACACTCTCTTTGTCCTCATCACCATTCTCTTCCTCTTTCTCTAAATCTGGCAGTATACCTAATGGAGCCTCATTCAAATGCAACAACCTTATCTTTCTTCGTCTGCCACGTTTTCCGGGCTTTTTGGGACCATGCTCCAAGTTTGTGTGACCACCCGGTGGTCGGCCTAACTTTTTCTTCTTCTTTCCATAATAGTAGGCTACAAAAAAAATCAATTTTATCACATACTTGTAAGCTTAGTTTGTATATACACTTGTAGAGCAATCTAGGACCTCTAATAATATCTACTATAACTTTCCAAAGCTCTCAGCTATGCCTTACCAAAGGTGACTTTTTACTGTCAATACAGTATTGAAATCCTGCTTTGGTTGTATGCTGATGTCAGTAATTCTAGAATTAATTTCAAGTTAATTCTTTTTCGCAGCCAGTGTCCATCTTAATGCATTTGCTGTTCAGCCCACGGAGAAAGGCTATTGAAGTGTCTTAAGCCATTTTTTATGTCCATCAAGATAATGCAAGGATTGATAACACTGATAGTGTTTACTGCTTAATATTTTTGGTCTCATCATCACAATCCAGTATCAAGAAAGTCCTTAAAAAACGAATTATAAACCCTTGAATATATTCTATGTGAAGCAGCATCCAACTAAACAGTTTGATCATTTGATACAACCTGATGATCATCTGATACAATCTGATGATCAACTGATACAACCTGATCATCTGAATCAACCTGTTGATCAACTGATACAACCTGATGATCATCTGATACAACCTGATGATCATCTGAATCAACTTGTTGATCAACTGATACAACCTGATGATCATCTGATACAACCTGTTGATCATCTGATACAACTTGTTGATCATCTGATACAACCTGTTGATCATCTGATACAACTTGTTGATCATCTGATACAACCTGTTGATCATCTGATACAACTTGTTGATCATCTGATACAACCTGTTGATCAACTGATACAACCTGATGATCATCTGATACAACCTGATGATCATCTGATACAACCTGTTGATCATCTGATACAACCTGTTGATCAACTGATACAACCTGATGATCATCTGATACAACCTGATGATCATCTGATACAACCTGTTGATCATCTGATACAACCTGTTGATCACAACCTGTTGATCATCTGATACAACCTGATGATCATCTGATACAACCTGATGATCATCTGACACAATCTGTTGATCACTTACTGTATTTGGTCTTTGTGAGTTGTGCACATGATTCAGGACAGCTGCCATTGACAAAATTTGGACTGATGAGGTTTGGACAACATTCCAGCTTGATACAGACAGACCGACAGAATTCTTCTAGTTGATCTGTGGTCCTACAGATCTCCACCATAGCACGGTAACTCTTTCCTTTATACCTAGCAGAATATAGGTATATAAATGTAGTTGTAGGTTATCTGTTTTTTCACACCATTTAGTGTAATAACTCTTTAATTTGAAAGTAGAATTCAGACTAACAAATGTTTCTACAAAAACATTTGGTATATATATATATCCATTCTCATGACCAAGTTAGGCAGAAAATTGTTTACAAGCTATCACTTGTCATTTCTCTGTGCAGTTTTTTATAAAAAGTCAGACTGGGGTTAAAAGTAGAAGGAATATATATGAGGTTATATTTGAATATGGATTGATATTGGATTTTTGCTACTCACTTGGCTTTGAGTGATTGCTGCATCATGTTGGGATTGATTTTACCCTCAACCTGGAGCTCCCTCAGGACACGACAAGATTTGTAAGCAACATTGATCAGCATGGAGAGCACCTCCTTCATCACCAGGGAGATGGGGCCTGGGCCAACACACTTGGGGAGCAGGGCTATGCGACCTTTGCTAAGGTAGGGGCCAGAGAAACACTGATGGTTGTAGTAGATCTTTGGACACCAAGCATTCCCTGTCAAAAAACAGCCAACTTTATGATGTCATTTCAGGAACAGTAATTGATTATATCACTTAAGATATTTTTTAGAGTTGTTTTGATCTATTTAGATACAAATAAAAGGACACCATGCATAAGGTATGGAATCTCTGCAAACTTTATAACTAGTGTTATGATGTTACCTGCACTAATCCCTCCAAACTTTAAAACTAGTCTTGTGTTCTTACCTGCACTATCACCATTTCTTAACTGTGTGTAAGCTTCATCAGTTAGATTATCTGGAAGTCTGTAAAATCAAAATGAGTGAATAAATAAAGTCAATTTTCTTTAAGATAATAGCTAATTCTCATACTGAACAAATATGTACATCTACAATAAAAAATGACCAACTTCAAATTAAAGAGACGTACATCTACAACACAAAATGGCCAACTTCAAATTAAAGAGTCATACATCTTCAACACAATCTGATCAAGGAGATCAGAATTTGAAATGAATAAGATATTTATCTTTAGATATTAGCATGGTGTACAAACACCTTGACTATAGTAAAATAATGCAAAAGCTTATATACCCTGGGGGAACCACAGCCACACGCTTCTGTGGACGTCCTTTCAGTCCTGTTTTCCTAGGCGGCTTCAGTTGGTAGCCATTGCTCTCACACCAGCCGACTGGAAACAGGTTGTGTGAATCTACATGCTCGATATGACTTGCCACAACACGTGCACTATTGTCCAGATGAATCCAAACCAGTGGCTCCACTATCTTTGTGATTGTTGCAGCACATATTAAATTTGGATTTTCAGGATTGACAGCTTCCAACTTCATCCCACGCTCAAACTGATGATCTGGTTTGTCCTGAGAAGTATAGTAAGTGTTATCAGAACTTTCTCAAATGAAAATCAAACATCATGATAAATTTTTTGTCGTAAGTTTATCTGCTTTTCTTTCCTGTTTTTACAATATGACAGGCAATGAGATTCTGAAAGATTCTATCCTATTTGCATATAATTATCATCAAATTTATTGGGAAGAAAATGAACAGAAATAAATTGTTTCTGATATTGTGTGAAGTATTTCTATTCTACTCTAACTTGAAGAAAATGAAGAACGGAAATTCAGAAAAGATTTACTAGATTAAAACAGGATTCTGGTGCTGCCTTTCCACGAGTGTATTCAAGATACTCTGTCCAGTTAAAATCCACCTTAGGCCAGCCTGCAATAAGAATGTAAGCTGATTTATTCTAATATATTAACTAGTTAAAAAATTTAAGACACAATCAACATTACTACTTTTCACAGGATCAAAAATAATCAAGATTTTGAACCCAGATTTTAAACAAAGATGATATGACCATACGAAAAAGAAAATAAAAATTAAAAAAAAAAAAAAAAAAGTAAATGAATTGAAATACCAGTCCATTGTATATCTAATGAACACAAATCCAAAAATCATGATATTTAAAACTGATAAACCACAAAAAGGAAATTGGCACAAATTTAAACATATATAAAATGATTCTGTTCTATCTGATCAGTGAGAGGACCTATACCTTTAGGAGCAGTTAGCTTGAGTCCCTTGTAGTGACACCATTTAACGGGGAAGATGCACTTAGAATCAGAGTAGCAAGAGAATCGGATACGGAAATGTGGATCAGCAGACTGTAGGTCATCTAGTTCCACCAGAAAGTACTTCTTGTCCAAGATGTCTACCACTGTAGCCGGACAAATCTGGTTACGTGTAATGGGGTTTAGTGCTTCAAGCTTCCAACCCTTCTGGAAAGTATGATGGATGATTTCCACCTGATCCTGAAATCAGAAAAAAATTGTGGTAAGGTGCAGTTAATAGAACAACATGTAAGTAAATTTTGGGCGCTTTTATTCTAGATACAATAAACTTTCACTGAGAAGACACTGATTAATAGAAATCCATAACTTCAAAAACAGTCACAGGTTATAATTATTATAATGACCGAGTTGAATATGTCAATAATCAATTATAATAAGTGGATATTGAGAGCCAATTTCATTCTTTTCCTAGTATAACAAATTTCAACTGGAACACATTCTAATACTGATTGCGCATATCATAAACCTTACCTTTAAAAGTCACCAGCAAGAACCTGAATTCAAAGTAATTTTATAATGCATATCTGCAAGTGTAGTTGTTGTAATTGTTTACCTTAAATATGGCCAATGGTAGTATCATATTCTCTGATTCCTGTAAGGCTTTTTCTAGAATCTGCATCCATTCTTGCTCGGAGTGCTCACTAAAGAGTTCTGATAAAAGGACAGGAAACATGAATATATCACTGGTGAACAGTGCAGTGGAAATAGCCCATCCCCTTGAGTTACAGGGAAGGTGAAGAACAAGAACCATTTTGAATTTCTTTTTAATCATGTTTTTCATTCAAACTTGTGAAGTCACAGTGGTAACTATAATGTATCCAAGATCTCTCAGTTCTTTGAAATTACTGTAAATACACAATACTGCAAATGGTATAATTTGGTTCAATTATACAATCAGAAGCTCTACATTTCATGAACATAACAAAATAAAATTATAAACTAAACAAAAATAAAAATCCAACCATGTTCAGAATGAATGTTTAGAACCTTCTTGACATTGAGTTGTCTACCTTTAGGTGGATTGTATCTATATGCATTTGACTTGGCCCAGCCAATGGGGTGTAGTCTGTGGTTTAGATAAAACAACCAGAAGTCATTAGCTGCAGTATCAGCTCCTTCAAACCTAAGATACAGTCGACCACCAACATTTTCTATAATTTTGACAAGCCATATCTCCATGGGGTTGATAGGATGCTGCAGTTCTAGCCTCATGCCCTGTTTTAGTTGGTCAATGGGGGTGATGCCTGTGGTCTGAAACATAAAATGGACAAAAATTTATCAAATACCATTACGTTCTATACCAAGTACAATGTGTATCTAGTGATGACATTCTATACCAAGTACAATGTGTATCTGGTGATACCAAGTACAATGTGTATCTAGTGATACCAAGTACAATGTGTATCTGGTGATACCAAGTACAATGTGTATCTGGTGATACCAAGTACAATGTGTATCTGGTGATACCAAGTACAATGTGTATATGGTGATACCAAGTACAATGTGTATCTGGTGATACAAAGTACAATGTGTATCTGGTGATACCAAGTACAATGTGTATCTGGTGATACCAAGTACAATGTGTATCTGGTGATACCAAGTACAATGTGTATCTGGTGATACCAAGTACAATGTGTATCTGGTGATACCAAGTACAATGTGTATCTAGTGATACCAAGTACAATGTGTATCTGGTGATACCAAGTACAATGTGTATCTGGTGATACCAAGTACAATGTGTATCTGGTGATACCAAGTACAATGTGTATATGGTGATACCAAGTACAATGTGTATCTGGTGATACAAAGTACAATGTGTATCTGGTGATACCAAGTACAATGTGTATCTGGTGATACCAAGTACAATGTGTATCTGGTGATACCAAGTACAATGTGTATCTGGTGATACCAAGTACAATGTGTTTCTGGTGATACCAAGTACAATGTGTATTTAGTGACGACATTCTATCCCAAGCACAATGTGTATCTGGTGATTACATTACAATGTATACCTGGCTCACCAGTTCATTTATGATATAATAAATGCAGCTTGTCAGAAACTCACTTAAACATTAATGAACCGAGGAATAAAGATAATATCATCAGATTCATCAATATGAATTTCCGGCTATCGATACTGGAGGCTGTCATGTCCAGTAAATCTATAATCTATAATCTGTAAAATAACATTCTACTTCTTCATTCTTTTTTTCATATTGATTAAACACATTTTCATTTAGTTATATGTGGTAATTTAAACAAATTTCAGGAAAACAACAATCTGATAAAGTTTATATATAGAAATATTCTTGCCACAAGTAATCACTTCTTCCCCAGTATTTTGATTTAAAAAAAAAGAAGAAGAAAAAAGACCTCTGTAGTGAACATACTGATTGACAGTTAGAATGACATAGCTAGGAGTACAAATGTAATGAAGACGAGTATCTGCTGAGATCCATGTTACCATACCATGGTACATTTACATACCTTATCAAGAAGATAAGAAGGGGCTGTTCTGGCCCCTGTTAGGGACTTGACTAAGAACTCCCTCCAATCATCAAATTTGTCCTTAATGGCTGAAAAGAACATAACATGAGAAATCATCAAATTTGTCTTTGATTTGTTGAATTTTATTTTAAAGTATTGCTGATGAAACTTGCTACTCTTAAGGATGTATATCTGAGTACCAAGTTTGTATTATCTTAGGTATCGATTTCACTGAGTTATGTGTATGAGAGTGGGTGCTTATCCATGCGTTTCACAATATATATTTTGTTTTATATTCATACTTATAACTACTTAAATAATAAATTTTTAATTCATTACTTATTCATTTCTGTCAAGCCATGCTATGAAACATGTATCGGGTAAACAACAGATGAAGATAGGGTCAATCTTCCATGCATAATATCTCCATTCATAGAAACAAAGTTGAACCATCAGATAATTAAAGTATTTCATTTGGTCTTTTAAACTTTGAATTATCCATGTTTTACTGTATAATGCAAACCTTTTTGGTAATTGAAAAATGATTATTCATGTTGCTATCAAATCTGGTTTTTTTACTGACAAAACTGTTCTCAAAACCTATGTTTTTTCCTTGATTTTTCAGATTTCATGGGACAATCATCCATTTTTTCACTTTCTCTCAAGACTTTGACATTATACATTAAAATAAACAAACAAAAAGCATGCCTCACCAAACTTGTTTTGAAATTATGATCGATTATACTGAAGGTAGTGTTGTGAAATGACATTGTATTTAAAGTACAGTTCTGAGGATTCCGGCTAGCTACACCGGGAAGGCCTCGAACTTTTCCATTACCTATGTTCAGCTCTTGGTTATTGTGAGATGTTATTCCCCTTTGATGCATCTGTCTTACAGTATTGTAATATAATGAGGAATCACTCATTTACACTACCCAATTTTACAATAGTACACATTATTTTTGCTTCAAAAAGTACAAACATGGACTCATCTCAGGCTGGTTTGTTTCAATGTTTAATTACAAGTACTTCAATCTGTTTCACAAGTTCTATATAGAATAAATATATTATTAAAAATAAAACAAAAAGAGCACAACTCTCCATTTTTCTCAATTATGAGTGTTTGTGCTCTGCATAATTGCTGATAATCATAATTGTAATAGAAGTGGCACGAGATCAACAACATCAATATTTGTGCTTATACCTTTGCTGAGTCACCATCATGCTTTTCTACCCTTATTTAATATAATGATCTTATTAGATTTACTTTGTTTTCAAAATTTCACACCCTTATCCCTAGGTTTCATCTTGTGATTAGCAAACACATTCCAGAATGCCAAGAAGCAATGTTAAGTGTAAACCAGATACAGACTGTGTTTTACATAAGAAGAAACAGGTGACTGGGCTTTGAAAAGAGTGATGTCATAGATAGGTCAACCTATGTTAAATTTGAAATTTTAGCATTGCACAAATGTTCATGCTGCCCATGAATTATATGCTTATGTGAAAAATACAAAATGATGATTACTGCTCAAATAAGTACTTTTACAGCACACAGCTTACTTTGGATCAAGTGGTTTCAACAAATGTCTACCTACCTTCTGGAGGTTGCAGTATTTGGTTGTTCTGTGCACACCAACCAATGGGATGGATTTCAGAGGTCATAAGATCACACCAAAAGTCTGCTGTAGTATCTTCCTCATAGCCATCATACCGAAGCCGTAACAATGGGCCACACGTCATGATGACCGAGGCTACCCAGTATGTGTCTGTATGACATTTGTTGGGAACCTCCAGCTTCATGCCTTTCACAAAACCACTTTCAACACTACATTCCACCTGTAAATACAGTAACTAATTATTACAAATTACTAATATTATCATACTGATTTAATCAGATTGTGTCTCACGTAGCAGTGTATATTTATTATGATCTTCAATAAAACAATGGTATATGATATAAAAAAAGTTATTGAAAAAGTCTTTAAAAACTTGAAAACTGGTCTTTTTACATCAGTACTGTTTACTATAGGATACAGCAAAACTTGTTACTCGATATAAACAAGAAAGTAATTTGGAACTCTAAGAAAATGTTTGAATCATCATACATGTTTAAAGGCTGTTGGGGGCACAGCAGCAGCCCCAGTCTCCTGTAGGTACTCCTCCCATACAAACTCAGGTTCAGCATATTCTACTGGAACCCCATCTGTATAAAGTTCATTTTATCAGCAAAATAAATAAATGTTCAATCCATCATTATGCATCCACTTAAATATATGAGTGGAAAACATGTAAATTCCATGGTTATATTTCATTATTGTGCAAATAACTCATCGAAACATACAGTAATTAGCAAATAATAAAGTAGATATTTGGAAGAAATTAGTAGAATAATCATTTTGGTAAAGCTATCAATAAATATTTATTATTTATATTAGACAGCAAGACAGTCTGAAGGACGTCAATCTCACCTGCTGTATAATCAGCTGTGTCAATTTTATCATACTTGGTACTACTTTCTGGACTAGATTTATCTCCCTTTTTTTCTTCTGTCTTGCTAGTAATATCAGGTGTTTTGGTGTTGTTTTCCACCAGTTTTTCTTTAGAGTTTGGCTCCTTCTTAGTAGTTTCTACAGTAGGTTTATCCGGAACAGGAGTATTTGGGTTTGAACTAGAGTTAGTCACTGGGACCAACACAGGTGGCATATCAGGAGTATTACATTTAGATGTTGATGGAGTCTTTTTACTCAAGTCAGTTGGCATTTCAGTATCAGGTCCTGGAAAGGACCCTGGCCTGGACGGGGGACCATGACTTGCAGGCGATATGGGTGGATTTAGATATTGAATGGGTTGATGCTGCAAGGTTTGTACAGCATTGTGGCTCCCGGGGGGAGGGCCTGCTGTAAACAGTCCTGTTGGAATGCCATTATTCTGTGTTGTTCCCAAGATACCTATACCACCAGGACTACCGGGCACTGAATTAATGATGGCGGCTTGCTGACCACTGAGAAAGATTGGCTGAAACTGTGTCATGCCCTGCTGAGATGCAGCAAATACTGGTGTTGGGCCAGCCATAGTTGATACATGGAAGATGTTGGAGCTAAGTGGCATTCCCATGGAGATGGGAGTTGTGGGACTAAGAATCTGCTGCATTGGTTGTCCCATTGGCTGACGGAAGGCTCCACTTGGAACCAAATGAGGAATCTGCCCCCCAGGAATTGGTGATTGGACAGTCATTGGGCCCCTCATGGTCCCTCCTGGTGACAACTGAGGATAGAAATTTGCCACTCCAGGATTTGGTGACAAAAGTGGAGAGTTAGGCAGTTGCAATGGACTAGACACTGGACGATTGGCATGTTGACCTGGATGGGTAGGCATTGCATTTTGTCCAGAGTGGTTCTGCATGATAACCTCTGTATGTCTCCACAATTAAAAGATGTGTAGCTCCAACCTCCTTGGTTACAAAAACATCACCTCAAATGGAGTTGTTCAAGCCAGACAGGGTCAGCTACAAACCCTGAGCAGGTGTAGCTTACATCAACAGCTACATTTGTTTTTTGTCCTGTAATACAAAAAGAAAGTTTAAATTTCAAACTTTGATACATCTTTCAAATTCATGCCAAGAAAGACAGCATAATTAACACCATCAGTTTATATTAAGACCATGCCTTTACTCTTAATATATAACCATTATCTATTATTATCCCTATAGGTCATACCTTGGCCCCTTGTTCATTTAGAAATGTAGTGTAAAATACTTGCATTGACATTACCAAGCTTCATTAATTTATCCCAGTGCATTATATACTGTCCAAATATCATTATCCTGAGTCTCCTGCTAAAAGATTTTAACAGAAAAATTTACATGTCTTGTGACATTGTAAGTGGGTCATGTTTGAATATTTGTTAGAACAAATTTACCATTTCCAAGAATGCTACCTGTTGGTAATTATAATGATCCATAAACACTTAGGTATTGATCAGAGGTTGTTGCCAAATAATTATTTCAGCTCAATCAACACCAGCTGTGTATTTGAATATTCTGACATTCAATCATCATCCTAGTTCTGATGCTTTATGTTTAAAGAACGGGAATGCATGTGACCCATGTAACCTTGAAAATGTGTCACTGAATATGAATAATATACAACCTACAATCTGACTCCTATAATTTGGAAAACATCCACGTAAATAAAACATGTGAATGAAATAGAAATAAGGTCGACTCTTGTATATTGTATGTAATAGTCACAAAATCATTATACATTATGTATTAGCCAGACTGTATGCAATGGTGTTTGAAGTTTTATTAGGAATGTACATTACACATAATTGACTGTAGCAGTCATTTTGTATATTTGCAAATTAAAGACAGTTGTTATTTGTAATTCTTGATAATACATGTAAAAATTTCCAGTTGTCCTTGTCTTTTGTCTTTGCATACTTTATATCAGTACTATCCTACAATGTCCAATTTAAAAAGTAGCTCATTTCAGCACTGCCTACTACATGTTTGTTCTAGCACTGTATTCTTTTCAATTACCTGGGCATTGAATGAATTATATACAAGTCATATAGTTTAACTCCACGAAATAAAAACTTCAATGGCATAATTTGTACATAATTTACCCTTCACCAATGATAATACCAATGCACAACAAATTGACAAATCCTGTCTAAACTTGTTTTGTATACACTAAACAAGTGATATATAATTAAATGTATCTATATTGAATCCATAGGCATAAAGCTTTAGGTGTATCTTTCAGTTGAAACATATATAAATTAAGTTTTTATGTATTTTATACCAGAGCCAAAATAATGATTAAATTTCCCTTCCATAATTAATTGAAAATGGAAGTATTTTACTAATGGAAGCTAAGTTCATAACATTTTCTGACACCTGACTGAGATATATCTTTGCAAAATATTGTACATCACTTATGTTATTTACTTTTAATCTACACAATATTGATTTCATGTGAATACCTGAAAACACATGGGTTTGTGACGTTTTAACCTTTTGACTGTTTACACATTACAATGTGTAGGCACCAATCTTTTTTCACCATTCAAATATAATATTTAAAAAAAAACTGCTCAAATTGGAATAAAATGTTTTACTTTAAACAATGATCTTAGATATATATAATCAATACCTAGTTTTGATGTCAGGTAAAAATTCACCATGAATTATTGAATATGCAACTAGGTAAAGTTATAGGACCAGCTAAAGAAAATTATATTGCAAGATACTTATAAAATTCAATATGAGGTTTTTTTTCTATTCAATATATAACACCACATGAAAAATACCAAATAGATTTTAAATTTCAGGAAAAACATTTCACTGACATCTATTGTTCATTCTTTTTGTCACTTGTCATTTTATTCTTGAAAATTGGAAATTGAAAGTGTCAATTTCCTTGACACCTGATAATCTTTCGATTATTCAAGTTACCTTTAAAAAAAAGCTTAACTACAAATCAGCAAGTGGAATTATACATGTGTAAAATCACCAATCAGCTCTAGCTACAGAGTACTAGGTAGAAGTATCGTTGTTTTGTTCCTCAGAGGTAGAAGAATTCATGTAAGGGCATGAGAGAATATTCCATCTTCACTGATTTACTGATATAGTAACTAATGAAATAAGATTTGATAGATATCTGTTTGTTAATGGAACTAAAATGGGAATATTTACAACAATGGCAGTTCCGTTGGTTTCTTTATAAAACATCTTGAAAGGCTTTACAACTTATGTGGAAATCAATACAAAATTTTTAGTCATAATTCAAAGGTTTATTTCCTTTTTATGACATGAAAATGACAAATACTTTTAAATTCTAGATAAAACTGTACTTAAAAGTTTCTTTTACTAAAAAGTCATTTTTTAATTGCACATACAAATGAACTAGCAAAAGCAAAAAATTAAAAAAAAAAAAATATTTGTGAAGAAATCATGATCCATTTTGTTCGAAAGTTTTTCACAATGTACTTCTACCGATATAAAATAAACCCTTGAGTTAATTTTTTTTGAAGATATTTTTTAAAAACACTTTAAAAAAAACATAATCCAATTACTTATTCATGTAACTGAAAAGAAAATGTCATTTACGAAAAAAAAAAAAAAAATCTGTTTTCACTTAAAATCTGAGAGAAATCTCTATTGATTGACAACCAATGGCCTATCTTCACATCAAGAAAACAACAGTTAGAAATGATCATTTAAGTAACTGAATTATTTTAGTTCTTTATTGTCCACAACAAATGACAGTGTTAGCTCACAGAAGATCAGAATACAACTAATACTATACATACAACTGATATAATTTAATCCATTAACAATCAATTGTTTCAGTGAATGATTGACATCGTATATTGATAAGGTAATGTATGTTCATATTTCAACTTAGTATAGCTGTAAACTATTGCTGATGGAATATAGGAGTTTTGTTTTATTTGTAGTAAACACTGAAAACAGAAATTATGTATATATCATAATTTCTGTGAAAAAAAACAACAAAAAACCAACTGTTCAGATGCAATCAACACAAATGTTAGTCAATGTTAAAAAATGTTCTAGGCAGCATATGGTGAAAGTTGAAATTCAAAGTACAGACAAAATCTTGAAATTTCATATAACTGCTTGTTAACAAAAATTAAAAAAAAAATAACAAACCTTGTTGCTAGAAAAGTTGGAGGGTAAATTTTAAACTTGGTTTTAATTTTGAAAAAATGAAATATATCTTTAAGCTTAGAAAGATTACCTTATTTTGCATATTTTGAAACATCTTTCAAAAATTTTTAACTTTTGATAATGTTTCTACAGACACTAAAGTAGATGTTAAAAGTAATATTGATTTAAATTGAATGCAAAATGTTTTTAGAGCACTAAATATTAATGCAATAGTATTCCTTTTTGAAACAACTGTTACTGGTTAATTTTTTAAACTGAAAATATATATCATCATTGACTTGATTTTTTAAAAAAAATTGGTACATTTAATTTGTTTTAATTTATAGTATGTTTTTCGTTGACTAGATTATATTTTATATTGCAGCTTTGAGTAATAATCAATATGGTTAAAAAGTAACTTAATACCCTAGGGCTTTCATACATTTATATATAATTTATATCAGGTCGTGTACTACTAAATTAAAACCTTTACATGCTTAGGCAATCAAAAATTATGTCATAATAATACATTTTGCAAGGTCATTGAACGTGTTCATTACCTATTGAAAAAATAATGAATTTCAGAATTTTAAAGCTAAAAACTTCAAGAAAACATAAACAAAAACATCGTCAAAAACTATAGTGATCTAATGAAATAACTGCAAACCAGAACTATCCTAAATAAGATAATTACCGTTTCTTCTTCTCCCTGTAAACAAATTATAATGTCCGCTCTGCTAAAAACGGTGCTAAAAATAGAACTTAGAACACCGCAAACTAAGCAATGCATTTTCCAATGTAAAAACTATTTTCGACCATTAAAAATACGACAAATGATTACAAAGTATGCATTATAATTGCTCAAAGCTTTGTCCAGTTGCATGCATCAATGTAAAATGTTTTTCTTAAAGAAAATTGCAATGAAACATGTCGATAAGCATCCCTGTTTTACCACAGAAAAGGGTCATGAATATGTATAACCCGAAAGAGGCAGCAGGATGAAACATGACATGCTTATTATGCGACGAAAGCACAATAAATCAAAGGAAAAAATACAGGATCATTTGCATTAAACACTACAAAAGATCAGAATTAAAAGAAAAAATACTCACATTCGTTTTATCATCATATTTGAGACAGAAAAAGATCAGTTTTCCTTTCCAACTTCCACATTCAAGATGGCAACTAGCAGGTACTCTACGCATGCGCAGCGTAATATATACAATTTCCATCCTAATTCGGAAAATATAAATATAACCAACAACATAAAGTGGAAATTCACAGACACAAAACTGATTTTCAGCAAAAGAACACGAGTTCTTTATCAATTGTAAAGTTTTGTTCAATGATGTCACATTTTGTATAAAATTTGAGTGGAGATAAAAAGGTTATAATTTTTACATTTGGATGAACTCGGACCTTTTCATAGTATCAAGGATGGCTCAAAAAAAATCTCTGAATGATTTGCGCATGCGAGGTTCTGGCGCATGTTACCGCTTCCTGTTTTGTGAAAGATGAGGTAGTGTCGTGTTTGAAGAGATGATAACTGATCAATCGATAAACAAATTACCACATTTATGGTCATAGTTATAGTAAGTAAGATGGCGCGTTACCATGATGATTGACGATATGAGATGTTGATGATTAGACTAGCACCTCGGCGTACTTACAAACTCGTCTGCTTTCAGTTCGATGACACATTTTGTTTGACAGCTCGTGTGTTTGAGTCGGAGTGTATGGACTCAAGATGTCAGTCGTAGCAACGAATTCTAATCTTAACCACAGTGATCTCGTGAACGAGAATCGCCTTAATATGGACGATCACTGTAACACAGGAGATCTGATGGGACCGCTCGGACTGTTGGTACAAGCTGTCTTAGCCTTCTTGGCCTTCACTTCATTGATAGGTACAGTACAGCTAATAACACTCGCAGTCGGCTATGTTGACATATTATAAATAACTGTAAGATAAGTCACACATGTGTAAGTAGGATTTTTCAAACTTTTTTTGTATATTGTAAAAAGTCAAGCTGTGTTTGATTGATTTTCAAAGTTGCATTAGTCGGTGATATATAAGCTGCACAATTTTTTTTCAGAAAGGGGAGTGGCATGACTGGATTAAGTTTATATCAATAGATATTTTTTATGAATGTCTGAAACTGACATTAAGCAATTTCATTGTATTTAAGATTTCTAAAATGAAATCACAAAATAGTTAGGGGCCTAGTCTAGTCAATTTCGGGTTTTAACATAAAATTGGTATATATACTGTACTGAAATTTGTTAAAGAGAAAAAAATAGCTTTAGTTTTTGAATATATTAGATTTATGTAAGATTTAATTTAAATGTTGTGCACATGACTGATGGGAAAACTTAGGTATCGGTACTTGTTTCTCGTAATTCAACTAATAAGCATTAAGGCTAAACTGTCTAAACATTGATGACAATGAACATATCTTTTGTTTTACTATAAGTGTATTATACTGTATGATTCTGTATCTGTTCTTTCCCTATATTTACATTTACCAACACGAGAAATAGTTATTTTGTACAAAATGTAATTCTTTTGTTGCACATATACTTTCAGTAAAAAGATACTGTGAGCCAGAATATGAACGAAGACCTTGGAAAATCTGGTAAGTTTATTTTTCATATTATCTTTGAAGCTAACAATGTTGAGAATCGAAAGAGTCCCAATTTGAGCTATTAAAAAGAAGTTACCAGATTTCCCTCTGACCAATTTTGGAATGGAAGAGGAGGGAATGTATTTATGATGCATTCAGGGTCGCCTGTTAAGATTGATCACTTAACTTTATATAATAAACCTTTCACATATCAGAACTTTTTTGAGCCAAATTCTGGCCCCATTCGCAATGGCAAAGCCATTTTTACCCCTATCCCAGAGTTAAAATCCAAAATCATGGTAGTTTAAGAATCTTGATGGTACCATCATATTTACAGTTTATTTAAAGTCAGCCCTAGGTTCAGATGGTTGTGTTTTTATTTTCACAAAATATATTAGCTACATTGAAGAGAAATAAACCTATTGGAAAAGTTATGATTAAATTCAAATATCTTTTCTGTTTTGTTATTTTTGCCAATTTTATATTTTGTATCACTTTTTCGCTAATGCAAAGCCATGGAGATCATTCTCAAAGTATTGAATAAAGACTCAAGTCCTGTCACTAGTAATTCAACTTGAGATCAGCTTATCTTTTCAAAAAATGCAGGTTGATGAAAAATTGTGGGGAAATTTTACGGTCGTCGCAGTGATCTCATTGAAAAATATTCTGGTTTTTTTTGTGCAATATTAAACTGGAGGTGTTAATTCTTGTTAGTTGGCCTGTTGTTTCTGTTGTTTTATACCTTTTCTCATTTGAGATCATGACATTACTTATTTGGATTGACCAAGGTTTACATGGCAGGGATCATCGTTGAAGCAGAAGACATTACTTTTCTGGAACACCTGGTTTAATTCTTCTTATACTTTTTCAAGAGTCTCTGTGTAAACGTTTCTTTGTTTATCTTTTGCCCTAGTTTTATTGAATTTGAGTTAGGATTATAAGCATGTGGATATGTTGAAATTTTTTTTTTATCAATTAGCCCACCAGCATCAAATCAGATCATCAAATCCCTCAGGGATCTCTTGTTTTTATTCTTCCTCTCTATGCATTCAAAATTTCACAGCAATGGCAAACTGTAAAATTGTATTTTAAAATGTTTACTAGTTGTTTGCATTATTTTATGCACACTTCAAAAAATACATCATTTGAAATGTAGTGAAAAAATCCTGAAGAAATGCCCTATTTTGCATTATTTGATATGTAGTTGAAAAAAACCCAGAAGAAATGCCCTACTTTGCTGTCTGCTAAGCAGATTAAGACATAAAAACTTGGACTACACAGTACTATAGATGTACATATTCTTGTACTAGAATAACATTGATAATTTCAATCATGTTTATAAAGAGATAATTAGACCCCTCTGCGATATATACATATTTGTATGTTTATTGTTTGACAGGTTGATGATGGTGTAACTGTTATGTTTATATGTATATGTATACATGTTGGAGATTGAATACATGTATGCACATTCTCATGATGATGATGATGATGATGATAGTGATGATAATCTAATAATGTGTTTCTACATGTATATGATAGATGCTGTTTTTGTACTCAATTGGACATATATTTCAGTTAGATTCAACTTTATTAGCACAGCTTACAATAATTGTGACTTGATGCCTAAACAAACACAAACATAGAATTATATGTAATATATGAAGTGAAACTGTATGTAGCCCTATGTTCTTCAGTACTGATGAACAATTATCTGTGACAGTTAGTAGAGATTCACGATACCACTTTGACATTACAAAACCTATTACTGCATTATCCTTTTCTGTAGATAAATTTATTACAGAACTGTTATGTTGTTTGTGATCATTCTCATGGTAAAATTATATTCTTATGTCAACTCCTGTAATACAATAGTCACATTCCGTATATTCAAGAACTGTCATGACAATATATGAGTTTACTAATGATTTATGTATAATTTTGCCTAAAACGGGATCCTTTAGTTTAAAATCCCAGCGCTAGTGATGTCATCATATACAGATGTTTGGCTGCTAGTGTGTGCTCATGTCATATTCCCATGTTGTGAACTTCCCCTTTGAAACTGAATAAACAACATAGAGAAATAACACAGGAAAAAAAAAGTTGTCTGAGAGGTCACAAGATAGGTTTTAATGTCAAAATGAATATTAAATGTATACTAAATTGTTTCTAACACGAAAAAAAAAATCTCACAGATGTCTAAAAGGAACACAATCTTGGTACCTATGATTTATAAACTTTTTTGAAAATTTTTTGTATAGGTTTCCTTAGATGGGTAAAATTTTATCTATTTTCTTTGCCAGTGACCTTTAATAATTTGTACAGATGGATGACTGACAAGTTGTAAATAAACATGCGTATATACTTGTACAATCTATACATGTTCAATAATTTTTGGCTCTTTTTATAGCTTGTATGTCCACTATAGCTACAATGTTGATTCTCATGGGAATTTGGAAATATAGTTTCTCTTCATATTTTAGGGTTTTTAAAGTCAGCATTATTTTAAAGGGAAAAAAATGATTGTCCTTTTTAACAAAGTTGATGGTAGTATTTATCTATCAGATGCATGTTTGGATGCCAAGCTTGACCTACATTTTACAATCAGTGGCTTTGTTTAAACATTTTCTAGCAGATTATAAATGGGAAGTATTGTTTTATCCTTATCTCGATAAATACAAGTGTGGATTAGACATTTATCCTTGTACTGAGTGCATGCTGTGGAAGCTGAGTTTGACCTATATACATTGTTAACATGAACTGTAATTGTTTCAGAACTGCCATTGTTACTTGTAGCACTGCAATTACTTCAATGAATTTTATCACAATGCTGAATTTAATCTGATAATATCTGAACGTTTAGATAATGTAGTGGACTCTCTGCCAAACACAATGAATCACTGTATTAAATTATGGTAAAGTTTGATTTTATTTAATGAATTCATCTTATCTATGCTGAATCAGAGTATCATTATATATATATATATGCCTGAGTTATATAATTTCATTATTAAATAGTGATATTAGTGCATCACAACAATACTCTTGATGTTTGCACCACTGCTGGATGCTTTTGATTTGAAAATAATCTGTATATGATTTATATTAGTGCTGACACTTCCCTGTTGTTATGATTGAAGTATAACAAACTACTGACTACTAACTTCTACCAAGCAGAGTATTACAATAATGGAAATTTTCTTCAAGGCATTCATGCTTACAGTTGTTGTAAATGTATATAAATATAAGGAGAAAGATGCGTAAATATATAGTACAGAACAGGTCTGTATGATATAGCTTCACACAGAGAGCGTGGAAAACACGTCTATTCTTAGGTATGACCGGGTCAAAACTACACTCGATATTGCAACGCACCGTCTCACATCACTTTCGGGACGAGTTGACATATGATCGAGCATGTCGCTATGGCCAGTTCGTCCAAGATAACGTCAACACAATGCGCCGTGTGCATCCAGAGATCCTTTTCCACAACACAATGTTAACCTTAATTATGATTTTTTTCCAGGACTTTTGACACATCGAAACAAGCTTTCGGAGCAATGGTCATCCATTTTGCCAATGTCTACCTGGCTGACATATTTCAAGGAGATCCCTGTACATGGTGAGGCATTGTATATATTTATGAATTGGTTGTACAGTTTTTCAGAAATTCACAATATGATGAAAGATCACTAAAATATCATAATAGAATTCTTGTATTGCATGATATTTTGAAGCACTATGAATTAATTATTTTCATCATTATACATGAAATCTGTTACTGATGCAATTCAAATCAAGTGATGTTTTGTCGTTCCAGGTACTTTATCAGTTTTATGCTGGACTCCACCATAGGATTATTTGTGGTATACTTAGGTTTAAAAATGACACAAATTGTTGTTAAAAAATACAATTACCAGTCACTCAAGTTTGGAGAATATGGTAAGTTCTGTTTCTACACATTACTTTTTAAATTTGTTGACTTTCCCTGTAAAAATCCTGATAATTGTAATTTGATAATGATGTATGGTTTTCTCTAAAATGAATTACACTGCTCTGGTATTGTAATTGTGAGTTACTGAACTGTATTTAGTTAATTATTGGTAATTTGACCAGTTTATGATATGCAATAAAGCTAATTTAGGTAAGATATTTGACAGTGTCATTCAAATAATGACAGATTGAAATCTTTTCTAAGCTGCTTAATGATGTGATCACTACACTAGATAGTTAAGAGTTAAAATATAACTGTGACTTTATAAGTGGAAAGATCAGTAAAGTTACAGTATTGCCTGCATCTTCATGTATTAGTGTTCATGTTTGATAATAAAATATGATTAAACAGAACAGCCATTTTATAAAGAAATTTTCTTGATCAGATCCATAGATTTAGCATAGGAGCATCATCATTTCCTGTTTTGTCTGGATTTGATGTTACTTTCAATTTAGATATACTTACTGACTACCTTACAATAATTCTGAGAAAACTCATACTAAATTATTAGTATGATATAAAATATGATTAAGTTAAACATATTGCATTAACTTCACGATATCTGACTGGTTCCCAGATAGTTATAAAATTTCACATGTAAACCCAGAGGTGTATAACATATTGTCCTAAGAATAGGACACAAGAAACTCTTACCAAGGTCCTATTTTCTGTGGATATAAACAAATGGACATGGTTCATTATTTTGTTGTGAAAAGATGGCAACATATTTGATAGGGTTATACTGAACATGATATTATGTGTTAGATGAATATACATGTGACATTGTCAATTTATAAGGCAATCCTCCAGAGTGTAATGCATGGGTGGGACAGTGTGGACTTTACATCTTGGTTATGATCCTTGAAAAGTTCCTCATGACACTTTTGGTGCAGTTTAACTTCTGGAAAGATGTAAGTATAGAAACACATGTCATGCTGATATAGTAAAAAATAGGTGCTTAAGTGCACATAGTGCTACTCATTTAATATTTAGGAAAAGGTTCATCTGCCAAATTTTTCAGAAAATTAAAAATTCATCTGCCAAATTTTTCAGAAAATTAAAAATTCATTAAACAGGTTTTATGTCCACTATTATGACCTTTTTAGCCTTTCAGCAGATGAGAGAAAATAGAAAACTTTGTCTAGCTAGAAATAAGTCCTAATATGGTTATATTATGAAGTGCCTAAAAAGAACTTGATCTAAGGATTATCTCAAGATCCATTTATATTGATCAATCAATGATAATTGGTTTTTATATGATAAAGAATTGTAATGTGCTGAAGTAAATTCTATTTTGTATAACGACATGTTTTATGGAAATTCGTCTATAAGGGAGATTTCTAACTAGAAGATTGATGTGACAAAATGACAATAAGTGATTTGAGACAAATGTCTGAAATATGTGATCAAATAATTAAACAGTCTGTTTTATGCAATTATTATTTAGTAATCAATGTGTTTTGTTGTGTAGGTGCGGTCATTTCTCATGTCTCCTGTGAAGGACCCACATGTAGAACTCATAATTGTCATGTTTATCATACCATTGATTGTTAATGTAAGTATTTTACTTAGAAAAACAAATCATTTTGTGACAATATATTCTGTATTAGTGTAAATGGTTTGATTGTGAGGCTATTTATCAATGCACACAAATGTAATCTCTATATATGGTCATGAAGAAGCAAATACAAAAAAGAATTGATTTAAGAATATTTAGAAATTGGCAAATATCACTGAATGAAGGGAGAGGAAAAATCTTGGACATCAAAGGTATTCATACATGTACATATATTTCAAAACTGGTGGGCACTTTTTTATATTTTATAAGATTATGAGATTCAATACTGACCATTTTAATTAACAATTTGTGAGATTTAAGTGTATATTCTATTGTCACATGACTGAAATATTTGAGTACTTTCATTGTAGGCATTTATATTCTGGGTTGTTGACAACTTCCTGAAGAGAGAAATGAAAGGGACAAAAAAAATTTATTTGAGTGACAATGATCCTTCTGTCAAGTTCTACAAAACAACAGAACAGGTCCGCTGTTACAATAGGATTGAAAAAGCTGAGGACTTTATAGAATCAGATCTGCTTGTGTCAACAGACGAGGAAGGAGATGCCAGGCAAAGGGTGGACGGAACAGAACGTCTCATTACCACATAGAGCAGTCTCATATCAATAATCACAGCTTTTTGTAATGTGATACAGCATGTCTTCACTGACTAGTTTGCCTTCTGTATTCACGCCCCTGAATAATTAAGAACAAGGATTGTTGAACTCTGAAAGGCAAAATAAGTTTAAATACCCAAGTTTACATTACATAACAGGTCTGAATTGTTATGTTACCAACAAAAACTAATTACCCAGTGTAGATAGTTTCTTGTTTTTAATATTTCTATAGAAATTAAAAACATTATGTTGGCATTATCATGTGGATGAATAGCTTCTTGTCCTACATTATGCAGATTATGAATTCTAAATTATTTCATACAGCCTTTGTATTGTACAAGGTAAACAGATTACACACTCATTCATTGTGTTAAGTATGAAGTAGTACATTAGATAAAGCAACAATACGGATATAACAATATTTTCAAATACCAAATTACAATTATTGACTTTCTAGAATACCCTGAATTGCTGTCAAATCTTAACTCACCTTTTTTGAAGGTGAGTTTATGCCTAATTACCATGTCAGTCATTATTGTAACAGATATCAGTCATATTTTATAGAAAAACATTTATTTCACACATCACACTGATCTCGAAGGGAGCTGAGGAAGGGAAGGGAAAAGTTCAATTAGGAAATTATTGATATTTCTCTCCTATTGATAGCATATTGAATTCTTTGCTGTGGGATGAAGAATCATGCTTTGCTGCTTGGATGTTGTTTCCAGGATGATTACAATAAGAAAAAAATTAATGCATTCATAGTTCATTTGTCTCTAACTATAGCATATACTGTAACAATTAAAAGAGAGCCCAGAAGATGAATGTAACATATCTGCATTGAAAAACATCAGACTTCCATATGGACTAAGCTAGAAATGTTTATACAATCTATAGACATTATACATAGACTGTTTTATAGTGGAACAAACTAAAAGGATGTAATTCATGAAAGAGTTATTTTTTATGGGGTGGGGGAGTAGGTATATATGGTAGATTTCAAATATTCCCTATGTTACTCTTGAAAATTTTAAGGTTTAGTTTTTCATGAGATAGATAAGTTTTGGAATGAAATGTATATGGTTCATTGATATACAGGATTGGGACCAAATCAAAAGGATTTCATTCTTGCAAATATATGATAGTTCTCAGATTCACACTAGTGTATTTTACAGGTACAATTGCATCTTGGGATTATTGTGAACATCTTTTGTAGTTCTTTCTAAGGTCAAGGAAAATTATCAAAAAATTTATGTCTCTCCACTTCACAAATTGTATTGAAAATTGTCAATATAAATGGTTTCATCATTTATACTACATTTCGCATTTATAAAATATTCACATGTAATAGAATCATTGTTGGCATGACCACTGTATTATCTTCACAACTGTTCTAACAATGATTTCTTATTTAAATCAGGTATTGTTTTAGACTTCTTTTTATAAATTCACTGGAAAAGAAATGATTTTTTCAAGCAGCTATTATATAATGTAATTTATACTTTCATGCTAATATCATCTACATCCAAGTCTCTTGGGAAAATTAAGAAATCATTGTCACCAATTTCAAAATTTTTCAATAAAAACTCGCCATATAATTATGTAATTACAATTTATTTTCATTTGAATTTCAACTTTCTTTACATTCTCTTCAATCTTTAATCTAGGTCCATTTTTTATTGCCGCAATTAATTAATGGCAAATAGAATTAAAACACCAAAAATATCTAGAATTAATTTATGTATCTTAAATAAAGTATCGACAGACTGTTTCCAGCATCAAAAACTTCATAGAATTCTTGTATTGACAAAATTTGTTCATAAATAAGTTGTTTTAAGACTGTTAACAGTTGTCTGGTAGACATGAAATATGTAAAATCACCCTAATATATTAACATGTATATACATGTTAGATATATCAAACATCAAGGTAGACATTGTCAAAATTCTATGTATTATCTGTGGACATTCTCTCCCCCCTAGGCTATCAAGCTAATCACTACAAGATCTGAGGAGTGAAGTGAAGGGAAGTAACTCTGATAGATCAGAATTGCTTGATATAAATATGTACCCATAATGTTTATCTTGTAATCTCTCTATAACTAAGTTCTAGTTTAGTTTCTATACATCAAAATTATGTGGATATGGTTGTGTATAAAGCAAAAGACCGAAGATATTACATAAATGAATATAAATATTTGATAGATATGATACTATATTTTGATTGATGGTCTTTCACTGTATACTTCATCTATATGTGTTATATTTCATTGCAAAGTTCATCAATTCCATGTGAATATGTCCAATATATGACTGTAACAATGCCATTAATTATATTACATACTATAGGGCACCAGGACAGCTTTAATCTAATAACTAAATGCAATAAATGTTAAAAGTATATTCACAATATTTTTTATGTATTATAAACTGTACATCTCATCTTTTACAGTTTATCAACATAATTATGGACACTCCACAAAAATATATTTTCATGTCATTACTCCCAGCAAAATACAGATTTAAAGACATATTCTTATAACCCTTTTATATTCATATAACTTTTTTTGTGTATACTTTATAGGAGATAAAAGTGAAAAAGAATCTTTGTTTAATTTAGGTTACTTTACCAAGTATTATTTATTGATATCGTTTCATCTTTCTTTATATTGATAAGGTAAAAGTAAAGCTTAAATAAAGAAAATTTCTTATACACCTAATGAAAACACAGGCCCCCGAGATGGACATTAAAAAAAGCTGGCCCCTGAGATGGACATAAAACATAAATGGCCCTTGAGGTTATATTCTCTGATTGAATGTAGAGAGCTTGATTACATTATGCTGTTTGATGAAGTTATGGGATTAATCCATCACTTATGATTACAAAATATATTTTAAGTATTAAATGTGTCTTTATATTGTATACTTTGTATAATTCTGATTTTAATCTGTTTTGCTTGGGTTTTCTTTTTCAGTTAAGATATGATTTTTTTCCAGCCCCTATACTTTATATAATTTAAGTGATTTATAAAAACAACTTTGAAGTCATATTATTTTTCTGGTAGCATGTGTGGGATCATGTTCAAATCCGTGACATTTCTGATGCCAAAATTCATGTTTTTAATTTTCAGGGAACTTAATCTTAAAATGCATACATTATTGTCAGGTGTCAAGTTTATCATTAACATTGTCTAATGGTTTTATCATATTTTGATAGTTCAGATTTATTAACTATCAAACAACAGCTTTTGTTATAGAAATTATAATAATCACATAGTTGTATTTTGTGAGTGTATCTTTGCTTTATTAGAATTCCTGTAATCAAAATATCATTTCATTCATTTCTCCCAGAAAGAAACTCAAAATTTTTAATACATTGTATAACATGTGTGGAGATTATATATATATCTGCATATTGAATTACAATTACAGGTATTCACTTTTTCTTCCCAAGTTGACTGCTTCCTTATCATTGTATTCACTCTCAGTTATTGTACAAGGTATAAAGGCTATAAGGCTTTATATCAATTTTCATTGGTTTGTCATAGCCAAAACATAATACAGAAAGTGCCAGTATGCGATTTACTTCATTAGGTTTTACACTTCAAAAATGACATTAAATAAAACCAGCAGTTTTGGTATATAGGATATGTAATGTCCTGAATGGTTTCTTTAGTCTGTAATGTTGGATAGAACAGACTTCCCAAGTTTATTAGCAGATAGGCTTCCAGTATATAATACGATACAATATATGACTCGGTCTGAAGACCGTGAAATATTGTTTAGATTTAATAGTGAATGTTTTCTTGCCTGCTTTGTTTGTGCAACGCACATAGATAAGTGGTAGAGCTGTTGTGAATGCATTGTACTATACATGTGCAGTTGAAGTTGTGTCATAGCTTATTACACTTACTCTGTTTCAAGTCAATTTTCTTTATTCATTTCATTATGTATTCCTGTTAAAAATGATGAAATGCAATGAAAATATTTGAAAGCAACTCCTCAGTAAAATGCTTTTTTTCCAAAAAAAAAAAAAAATAGTAACATGATTCCTCTAGCCTCTTCAGAATGTGTACATTATATCTACTGTACTGAGATTGTGCTTGTAATACTGACCAGCTGTTTGTGATGACTAAATGTGTGATAATTTGCTTTGTACTTAATTTTACATTATACGCAATCTTCACTCATTTTTTCACAAAGTTTTGTGAATTATCTAACGTCTGTATCTTCTACGGTGAAGTTAATTGACTAGTTAAAATGATATAAAGTAAATAACCCAATAACGATGACCAGTCTATAAGTAATGATAGACTCTCATTTTGCATTTATCTTAATGTTTTTTTGATAAATTGTTTTCAAGCCAATTTTTTTGTATGAATTCAGTTACATCTTGTATATATTTTAAGAATGAATATATAACTGTCAATGTTGTTACCAGTATCTCAACGATTGTGTTATAGGAGAGTGGGGTGGGGGTGAAATCCTAAAACTTCTCCAAATAGTCCCATTAAGTCATTGGAGGTTGCCTTCCATTTTATTTGTGCTGATATTCTTTTGACAATCAAAGCTTTGTGTCACTGCTGTGCCTATCTGTACAGCTACATGTGCTATAACAACGCCTGATGATAAATCCCTGCGATTCTACACCACTGTGATTTTACCAAACTCTGTTTGAAGTATAAGCCAGAGATGTTTCAGTTTTATGAGATGTTTTGATAATTGACTGTGTTTGAATTAATCACACAAATGTTCTTGTCACATAATTTCTAAGGGTTTTGCTTTGCTATTCTGTTTTATTCATATATGTATTCAATCACTATACTATAATTTATCTTTAGTTCTGCTTTAAAAGATGTACCATAGTATATTGAACAGTGTAATTTGCCTAGCGTGTGATGTGTGTATATGTCCAGCACTCATAACATGGACTGTTGTATAAAGTTTTGTAAATAACAAAGGAAAGGCACATTATATATTGTATGCTATATAATGCATGTATGATATAGTTTGGAAAAACCTTTAACTTTATATGACATGGCTAATAAAGATTGAGATAGCTAGAATCA